TCTCTCTCTCTCTCTTCATTAGTCTTCTCGGGTACACATCACCAGGGCAGTTTTGGAGCAGTTTCTGTCATTTGCCAAGTATCTAGATGGGTTGACTCACGGAGCTCCTTTACTGAAGCAGCTGTGTGATCACGTTTTGTTTAATGCTGCCATCTGGATCCATACACCAGCTAAGGTGAGCTCGTCCCACACACGCTAAAGGTAAAAAAAAACACACAAAAAAAACAGTCACATTTCACAACTGTCCATTGTTGTTGAATATTTCCTTGTCCATAGCCATTGTCGTTATTTTTACAAACTTGTTTATTTACTAGTATATAATAATATTATTTCAAAGTATAATAATGTTATTTTGGAATAGTATTTTACAGTAACTTTCAGAAGTCGGTTTGAAAGAAGTATCTTATGCTCACCAAGGAAACTTACAGGAAATTTTCACACTGTATTGCTATTCAGAGGATCAATATTTTAATTACATCTTTCACATTAATATAATTGGATTTCTTCCATTTGTTTCATCATTTGTTTCATTAAGAGGACCTGCAATATATGTAATATATAGTCTTGATACCATCTGTGCCCCATGGAACCACCACCAAAGGACCTTTTATAAGAGTATAAGTGTTAATGATATTCTAACCCAAGCAGTCAGCTTACATTATGTCTGAAGAACTTGTGTACTTGATTGCACAAAGCATATGCTTCTAGATATTTTTATCCGTCGAGTTTACGAGGTGTGAAGTGTGTGCGTAAGCTTTGTATTCAAAGGCACTTGATCCACAAATTTGGGGGAAAAAAGTGCCGTTCCTCTACAAAAGCAGAGAGGCTCAATTATTGGATAATGACCTAGGAAACATGACTGCAGGAAGAAACGATCGCCCGCTTTTGTTCCCTCGCCCGTCCACGCAGAGGAGTGAATATCGCACAGCGACTACAGCCCTTTATGATAGAGAGAATGAAGAAACATCCAGAGGGAATGAAAAAGAGTGAGATGAAGTGAAGGCTTGAGTACAGGAAGCAGATATGTGAAATATTACTGCTATGGAGAAAGAAAAAGTCAAGCTATAGATTAGGTTTTTCGGATTGAGGCAGATTTCACACTTTTCAATCTATAGCAAACACATGGCAGTGAGATTTGCTCAGGCACTGCTTACATTTTCATGAGAAAATGTAAAAAGCTTAGTGGATTCAACTCGTCATTGTGAGGTCCTGGTTTTCTTGCTTTATCTTTGACCTGTAATTTGGTTAGGGGGGAAATGTCCCCATGATATTGACCTGAATCAGCAGGCTGGGTAAAACATGAGATTAAATTCACTGATAAAACTTGGTTTCCACAGCAGCCTCATTAAGCCTGAGCCTAATTAGCATGTCCGTGTTGATCAGTGTAAGAAATGGCTGTGTGTAAATGTGTGATACACAGATGTGTGTGTATGTGTGAGGGTCCCACAGGGACGGCTTCAGGAGAATGGCTTTTTACACAGAAACACAGGAATGTTTTTTTTTTTTTTTTTCACAGAAACAACTTTGTAAGAAAGGAAAAATCTAACTCAGATGTGCTGTTTTTTTCATATTTATTTATTAATTGACTTGTGAAAGGTTTGTCAGTTGCTTCAGCTGGAGGAACAGTAGCATAATATACACTAACGTTTAGAAGTTTGAGGTCAGATAATTTTTTACTAATTATTTTTATTTATCAAGAATGTGCTTATTTGATCAAGTGACAGTAAAGTCATTCATAATGTTACAAAAAAAATTTACATTTTTAGAATAATTTTAAAAAAAAATGCATTGCGGTTTCCACAGAAATATTAAGCAGCACAACTGTTTTTAGCATCAATAATAATAAGAAATATTTCTTGAGCACCAAGAAGGATCTTTCTGAAGAATCATTTGAGACTGAAGACTGGAGAAATGGCTGCTGAAAATTCAGCTTTGCCATTACAGGAATAAATTACATTTTAAAATATATTAAAAAATGAAAAATATTAGAAAATGGTTATTTCAAATGGTAATAATATCTCCCAGTTATACTGGGAGATATTATTACCATTTGAAATAACCATTTTTTTGAACAAATGGTTCAAGTATTTTTGAACAAATAAATGCAGCCTTGTTGAACATAACTTTCAAAATGTTTACAAATCCTACCGACTTGAGACATTTGAACAGTAGCATTAGTGTTGATTATATTTTGAAGTGCTATTTACAATTTAGCGCTGCTTTGAGTGCCTTGTTGCTTTTAAATATATACATTTTAATGTATGAATATTTTTATTTCAAAATTCATATGAATTGTTTTATAAATTATATTGTTGTATTAAAGACAAAATATTCATTAAAATGTTTTATTACGCAAATTATTTTATTAAGCAATTAATTACAAATCATCCTTCTGCAAAAAGATATATTCCTTGACATGTAAACTAACTGTACTATGTATTTAAGCATGGCATTGAGTCTATATTGGCCAATCAGAATCTAGGACCAGAACTATTGTTTATGTTACTACCATTTCAGCCCATTTTAAATCATGTAATCCACTGTGTGTGTTTTCTATTTCTCAGGTTCAGCTTTCCCTCTACACATACCTGTCGGCAGAATTCATTGGCACCGCCACCATCTACAGCACCATCCGTCGAGTGGGCACCGTCCTGCAGCTCATGCACACCCTCAAGTACTACTACTGGGCCAGCAACCCCCTGGAAAGTAGCGGTATCACCCCTAAAGGCCTGGGTGAGTCTTCAGAAATGTCTATTTGTAGAATTTACCACCTCACAGGAATCTTTTACCCTTCAAGTTATACAGTGCTGAATAGTTGCACATTGTTTTGCAGGATCAGGTAGTGAAATTTGCCAAAATGAAATCCCTAGATAGTGAGATCTCGAAATACCACAGAGGAAATAAACATGTTCTGGGAACAGCTGAGTGGTTCAGAAGTCTTCACACACGCTAACCATGTCGTGTTAAGGTGGACTGTGTGTCTACATAAAGACAGCCAGCAATATTAAGCATGAATGAATCTTGAAACACTGCCCAATCTTTTTCCCCCTCTGTCTCGGTCTATTTTTGTATCCTGTGCACTTTTGTGCCTCAGACTTCTGTTCTCTCTTGGTGCTCATCTTCATTCTAAATCTGGTTCCCTCTCAAGATGACTTTCTCTCTGTCTCGGTCTTCAGTGTTTTCCAGTTTCCTCGCCCTTCCCCATTTTAACATTCTCTTATTTCTTTTCTAATTCTCTTGCCTGCTGTAGTTCTTCTTTCATGTGTTTCTCCTTCCTTCTCGCTGTTTTCCCAAATGCCACATGCAAAATCTGTCAGTTCTTCCATCTGTTTGCCATCTCTCTTTTCATCCATCCTGGCCTGTCATTCCCAGAGGTGAGTCTCTGCGTTAGATAGATGGTATAGTGATGCTTTAAAGTCTGAAGTGAATGATTTGTAGCATCCAACATCAATTACGGCCTCATGATGTGTTTCTCTGAGTCGGCTGTGAGCAGTAATGATATTGACATGCTAATAAATATTGCTCATTAGCCCCAGTTTACATGTGAAATTTAAATAAAGAATGTATTAAAAAATATATATTTTAAAAAAGCAGCATAGCAAATGCGGCATAATGCTGATACGATATTTGATTATGGTAAAGAAGCAAATAAAATGGTATTATATATGAAATGCATTGATCCATTAAAATTCTGGCCAGTACAAATACAAATGTTCTCACTGATACTGAATAAATACTGTTTTATATATACAGTATAAATGAAAAACAAAACACTAAGACTAAAATCAGCTAAATGCTGCAATTAAATTTAGCCATCAAATGATGACAGCAAAGGTACACTACTGTTCAAAATTTGATATGGAATTTCATTTATTTGCATTTATTTGATCAGAAATACAGTAAACCAGTAAAATTGTGAAATATTATTACAATTTCTATTTGAATATATTTTAAAATGTAATTAATTTCTCTCATGGCAAAGCTGAATTACTACAGTCTTCAGTGTCACATTACCCTTCTGAAATCATTCTAATATGCTGATTTGGTGCATTTCTGTTGAAAGGTTTGCTGAATAGAGAATTCAAAGGAACATAAGTGATTTGAAATAGAATTCTGTAACATTGAAATTTGTAATTGTAACAATTCCTCTCACTTTTGATCATTTGTGACCCTGGACCACAAAACCAGTCATAAGGGTCAATTTGTCGAAATTGAGATTTATACATCAGAAATAAAAACAACCAAAAGGAACTTTGTTATATATATATATATATATATAAGGATGCACTGATATTAAAATTCTGGCCAATTTTGTATAGTAAATTAAATTAAAAGCAAAACACTAAAAATAAAATACAACTCGATGCCGAAAAGGCATTCGACAGACTAGAGTGGCCGTACTTAATGGAGGTGCTAGCAAGATTTGGATTTGGTGACTATTTCCGCAGATGGATGGAAATTCTTTTAGTTGATTCTTCTGCAAAGGTACTCACTAACAGTCTAATCTCGCCTTCATTTAAACTTAGTCGTGGTACAAGGCAAGGCTCACCACTTTCACCTCTACTTTTTGTACTACCTATGGAGCCTCTGGCAATAGCAATAAGATCACACCCTACTGTTCATGGTATTTTTACAGAAGCTTTAGAACATCGCATTGCCCTATACGCTGATGATACCATCGTATTTCTATCAGAACTTGAAAAATCTGTCCCATCCCTCTTAAAGCTTATTGGCCTGTTTGGCCATTTTTCTGGATTTAAAGTAAATAAAGATAAGTCTTCAATTATGTTTCTCAGTGAACAAGAGAGATTAAATCCTACGGTGATTCACCCATTTGTAAATGCTCTAAATGGTTTTGATTATCTAGGAATTCAAATAACCCCTAAAATAAGCCTCCTCAGTTCAGCTAATTATGAACCTTTGTTAGCTAAAGAATCTGAAGAGACGACTAGATGGATGACACTGCCTCTTTCTGGGAAGAATAAACGTGATTAAGATGAATATATTACCTACATTTTTATATGTTTTTCAATCATTACCGCTTCCCCCCTCCCCCTACATTTTTTCTAAGAATAAGAAAGCTTCTCTCTAATTTTATTTGGAGTAACAGGAAACCAAGACTGAGACTTTCTTTACTATATCTGCCCTATGAAAGGGTAGGGCTCCAACTACCAAATTTCTTTTGGTACTATTGGGCTGCTCAGTTGAGGGCTGCATTGTTCTGGTTCTCTAGTGAAGCCGCTGTGCCGTGGTTACATGTTGAAAAGTTGGCCGCAAAAGGCTTGACACTTGACAGCTTTTTATATTCAGCACCCCTTAAAGAACTAAAAAAAAAAAGACAGACAATCCATTTGTAAAAAATACTATTGTAATCTGGTACGAAGCCCATAAATATCTTGGAGACCTCCCAGTGCTTTCCTGCTTTTCTCCTATCTGGGGAAATCAGCATTTCAGCCCAGCAAAAAAGGATATGTGGTTCAAATTGTGGATGAATAAGGGCATGGTTAGATTGAAAGATTTGTATGAAGATAATTAATAATTATTAATGACATTTGATAATCTTGTAACGAAATTTCACATACCTCAGAAACAGTTTTTTAAGTATTTGCAACTCAGAAGTTTTATTTTTTCACGTTTGAAGAATTCTGCACAACTCCCCCCCAATGTCGATATTGGAAACTCTCACATTGCAGGATTGCTACATTAAAGGGCGGATTACCCAATTATTTAACATACTAAGAGGAAATCATAAAGAAAGCTCTGAAAATAAAAGACAAGCATGGATCCAAGATATAAGTATGGATATTTCATTAGATGACTGGAATACAATTTGTTTAAATGCACAAACACAAACTTTGAACTCTCGATTGAGACTCTTACAATATAACTGGGTAATTAGAATTTATATAACCCCTTTAAGATTAAATAAATGTAACCCTAATATCCCTGATCTGTGTTTTAAATACAATAAGCTTCAAGGTACATTTTTCCATTGTGTGTGGGAATGTGAGGAGGTGCAGAAGTTTTGGGTTGGGGTGACTCAATATGTTTCTCAATTTACTTCCTCTCCATTTCCTCTAAGTCCTGTATTGTGTGTATTGAGTATGCATGATGACAACTGCTCTTTGCCCACTAAAGAAAGAAAGTTGGTGGATTTGTGTCTACAAGCAAGACGTTTTATTGCCCTGTGCTGGAAAAATACCAGTTGCCCTTCCATTGGACTATGGCTGAAAAACTTAACATGTTTGGCTCTTGAAAAGCTTACATGTGTAATAAGAAAGAAACCCTCTGAATTTTTTTTATATATGGGAGGTGTTTTTGGACTTTGTTAAAAATGGAAATCTTGAAGAAGCTTTAGATGTGTGAAGTTATGGATTGTTAGAAGTGTGTGTTTTTTTTGTTTTTTTTTTAAACCTGCCTGGGGTAAGTTTTGGGGAATGGTGTTGCATTTTTTTTTTAATACTTTGTAAAACTCAATAAAGATATGTTATACAAAAAAAATACATTTTTTAAATGCTGTAAGTGAATTTATTCATCATTAGAAAGTACAGTATGAGAAATGGATATTTTGAGAATTACCAAAGATTACATTTAGAAAGTTTAAAGATTTTCACTTTAAGTGAACAGAAGATGAGAGCAAAGGTAATTTAAAAATGGGAAATGAACGTGCACATTTTCTTTGATCTGCTGGGTTGGTAAGAGCTGTGCATGTGCTACAGTTTTTGAATGTTGTCCATTATATTCTATAGTGGATGTACTGGCCCATTTAGACAAGCCTGTAGTTGCATTTCGTTCTTCCCGTCCCTGTGTACTTCAGATAACACTGTGACTTCAGCCTGCTTATCTCTGTTAGATGCAGAACCCGTGTCACCATGGCAACCCTGTTGCCCTTCCCATGATGCTGCACGGATCTGTCACATTGTAGAGCGAGTGTGTTTGTTTCCATGTAACGTAGTGTTAATTTAAGTTTACTCTTAATTGGATTTTAAAAGTCAAATGATTTAAATATATGTAAATATAAATTAAACTTTTGGCCGACAAAAACGTCGTTAATCTAATTCTAATTGCATTTCACAAAGCATTCATTTGCATATCTGTAAGCACATTTTGTCTTACATGAGTCAATGGCAAATATTTTGTTGTATTCTTGCATATGCAACGGATCTGTGATGGTAACAGGCATTGATTGATCATCTCAACTGGCCTTGTTTTGACCCTTGGGATGCTGAACACTATCACAAACAAATCTCTTCCTCCAGATCTCACAGTCTACACCCGGTCATCAGTTCTCTCACTGCACCAAATCATTGCAGCTGGGAAAGGTCAAGGGATGTACATGGCTACAAATAGACCTCGACCACGGTCATAGCGTACAAATGCAGTACGCGGCAGAGCGCTTGTGTGTGTAACTACACACAGACTGCTGAACTGCAGGGCAATGGCGTCACACACCTGATGTGTGGATGAACATGGCTGGAGATGGGGAGGACGCTGACCTGCTTCATTACATCACACACGTCCACTGAGCTTTCTGTTACACTTTGGCTTACCATACAGAAAGTGATGTGAATTTTTCATGGCAGCTTTGTAACGACTGGGTGCTGTGCGTTCAATAAAAGATGAGGGGTATGCGTGTGTGTCTATTTGAGAAAGATAGTTTGGTATTGTAAAAAAGAGATGGCAGGAGAGAGAGAAATAGGGTGGTTGTGTGGTTCGGAAATGGGGTTGGTGTGTCGTTTAGGGGTTTGTATTCCCTAAGCTGCGTCTTAAGTGTTGTTTTTGTTTTTCTTGTTTTTCTCGCTGTACTGAATTCTATTTGTAACCATTGCAAGAAACCTGCAGCTTTGAGCTGCGGCTTTTCCCTCGTCCCTAAAAATTTTTTTTTAGAAGTTTTAGTTTGTTCATTAATAGCTGGGTTACATGAAAATCACTGTGATTTTTAGCTGTTAGTTTTGTAAAATATACAAAGAGAGTGATATAGCCTCCTAAATATGTTTTTCCAACATTAGCTTAAACGTAGAATTAGGAATCAAAATGGCATAAGGCATTATGTTAATTTTTTGGTTCATTGATGATGATTAATAGCATATATTAAAGATCTCTCATATATTTAATTGCCATACGCAGGTGTTTATTAAGTGTTTAGATGTGTGCAACCCATGTAATCGTTGTAAATCACTGTGTTTTCTTACAGATGGTCCACGGCCCTCTCAGAAGGAGATTATATCCCTGCGGGCGTTCATGCTTCTTTTCCTCAAACAGCTCATTCTCAAGGTGAGACAGTACAAAATCATTATAGATGTTAAATATATCTGTGTGTGTGTATATACAGTCCAACCAAAATCTATTCAGACACCTTCAACATTTCTCACATTATCACAGTTTATTCACTATAGTTTAGAAAATGGTAATAGAATATGACATGAACATATTTTAAACTGTGTCAGAACAAATTCATCTTGATAATGTCAGATAACTTTACTAGAAATGTATGTGATGCATAAGGATGAATAGCTGTCAGCTGTTAAATTTAAGTACACAATTAGATAATACCAATTTAGGTCAACCAATTACCATGCAATGCATAATTTTGTTCAGTCTGTGGTGTAAAAAGGTCGCATTAGCAATTAAAGAAAAACACTTAAGCAAAACATGGTCAGGTCAATGTGTCTTGAATAATTTTGGTCCCAAATTTTTACAAATTTTACTGGTAATCAACTGTATGAAGAATTTTTGGGTATAATATCTCACAGTTTACTTTATCTTGCTATCCTCATTTACATAAATGAACTATAGTGTCCTGCACCCACTAGTAAAAAAATTAGTCCCCAAGCAGTGACAGCGAGAAGACACGTCTGCTTTGTTAAAATAACACAATTTATCCTAATTTTTCCCTGAAATTCGATCCAATTTGAAAGGCAGTCATGCAGAAATTTGTTTATTTGCTTTTGTTTAAAAACAATACAGACAGCTTGATGGGGCCAACATAGAGAGAATTGCATTATGGATCATCGCTCGACACAAAGCAATGTGTGTTATGTGCATAGGCTGTTGTCCTGTTTTGAGAAACATGATGTGGTTGCCAAGCAGCACGTTTTTTCATTTAGCCGCTGCCTTTTTGTTTCATTCCTATTATATTCTGCCCCCTTTCCACATTTCCTCACTTTCCATGCAGTTGTTAGCATTGTGAGCGGCTTGTGGCTTGTAATAGTGGCCCCAATCCATCACAAATGCCCTTCTCTTCACAAAAACAAAACAATGAGTCTCATTCACGCTTACGCAATGTTAAAGCAGCTACAATGTTTTCCTCTTCATTCAGAACCTTGAAATACCCAACTTAAGTATCAATTAAGCATCAGTTTTATAAGTACCAAAGTATTTCCTCAGAAGTCAAAACATTTTAAAACCAATATCCATAGCATGCAAGAAATACATTGCAAGACCTTTAATCGGGTGCCTTTAAAACCTTTAACTCAAGCATCAAGCATTAGAAAAATTTGAGGGGGGGGGGGGTATGCTTATTTTTATGTTTGATACATTTCTTTTAGCATTTTTAAATTTTGGTTCAAATTTATTCTGTTGCAGTTTGACATTTTTGTTTTTGTCTGTTACATTTGTGTTTTATGCCATTTTAGTCTGAGTTAAATGGACTAATAAACTGACATTGACCATATTTAAAGCACAGTTTTTATCAAAAGTAATTATAAATCTGTGTAAAAATTAGAACTAGAAAAATTACAATGTAAGCCTGTTTATATTGTGTGCTCTCTTTTTCCTTTTAGGACCGCGGAGTGAAGGAAGATGAGTTGCAGAGCATATTAAACTACCTGCTAACCATGCATGAGGTAAAACTGATCAATAAACAGAGCAAAGGTCTTGTGGTCTAATTTTCTTTAGCCTGTATTAAACAAAATTTGTTCCACGTTCTTAATGGAAAACAAGCTGCTTAAATCTGTCTGGAAGGCTGAAATATTCACCTCCGGTGTCAGAAGTGCAGAAGTATTTGAGTCCATTAGGAAGGCGCTAGTATTATCCTGAAAGCTGCATTAATGCTTTGATTGAGTCTCATGAAATTGCAGTAATGCACCATCTCTGCAGCCATTTGATTGAAAACCGCAAATGAATCCTGAAAACTGCTAGTTAAGTGCAGCATTATATAACACCCAGACATTTTAAGGGTGTCTGGTGTATCATTACAGTCTACTGTTGTGTGGTTAAATGTCTATTTGTTCATTTTCCTTTCCTGTAGGATGAAAACATCCATGATGTGCTGCAGCTCTTGGTCGCGCTCATGTCTGAGCACCCCGCCTCCATGATCCCTGCCTTCGACCAGAGGAATGGAATACGGTGAGGCCTCGGGACAAACGGCTCTTGCGTAGTCCGGTTACGTAACTGAAATAGATTTGGCTGTCACAGCTGCATCAATCACATTCCCTCTCGCCTCACAACCTATCGCAAGCGACTTAAGTGCTTGTTTGAACTGCCCTCCCCATGAATTCACACCCTCTGGGTATCTTTGTGGTATTTTATTACTAGGGCTGTCAATCGATTCAAATATGTAATCAAGATTGTTCTCATAATTTGTCTATAGCTGAAGGAAAAGTCAATCCAAAAATGAAAATTCTGTCAACCTTATGTTGTTCCAAATGACTTTTTTCTTCAGTAGAAGATATTTTGAAGAATGTTGGTAACCAAACAATTTTGATTCCCATAGACTTACATTGTATGGACAAAAAATACAATGGAAGTCAATAAGAACTGAAACTATTTTCTTCACAAAAGATCTTTTTGTGAAAAAAATGCACAAGGTTTATAATGATATGAGGGTGAGTAGAAAACCATCTATATTTCTCAAACTGCACAACAAGTGCAAACACAGAATGCAAATCTGCAGTTATTCAATAATGTAACCACATTTACCACAACTTATGTATCTCTGTTACTTTTCAGAGTCATCTACAAGCTCCTGGCTTCCAAAAGCGAGAGTATACGAGTCCAAGCTCTTAAAGTTCTCGGCTACTTCCTGAAACATCTGGGACACAAGTGAGTGTTAATAATCAAAACATTTGTGTGAAGACCTGTATATGAGCATACAAAGTTGAATTTGGTATGTTGGCATGCAAAGAAACCTCGGCTGGATCATTCCTACTGTGCGGGTAATTGTCATGTTGAGTTTCTTCATTTCAGTTTCTTGAGTTTATGCAGTGTATATTTCTGAAAGTCTGGTACATTAAAACCTTTTTATAAAAATAGTCCCTTTGATTACAACACAGCCGCATTTTAGGAGTTCAAAAGGTACAGCATGGACAGAAATGACCCGGCTACGTGTACCTGCCCTTTCAGCAAGGGAAGAGAGCACATTTAGAGAATGAGTGTTCTGTAGCTGACAGGAAGTGTTAAACGCATGGGCTGCTGCTGGAATAATTGTTCTGACAGTTTGTGTGTCCGGCAAGGCAGAGCTTTAGACATGATGCTACAAAGAAAACAATTCGATATAAAACCAATTTTCACTCAGAAATTAGTAGTAAATATCACAATAAATTACCACAATAAGTAACAAATCCAATTAAATGTGAAATTTTTAAGTAGAAAGACTGAAATATAAATATATATAAGACAAATAATCTTTGTTTTATTTACAACTTTGTTTTTGTTTTATTTACAACTTGCATTTTTTTTTGTAACGACAATGTATTGATGTTATCCCTCATTATTCAGACATCCGTCACTTTTCTGCTTAAAAATAAAATTAGATCCAAAAAAAAAAATTCTTCAAATCTGGTTAGTGTCATTTTCCAAACTTGTTTTCCTCCCATTTTTTCCTGTTTTGTCAACTGTTCTCAGAGTAAAAGTGGCAAAAGGCCAAAAATGTAAGTGCATAAAGGGTTAAATAAAAAAGAAAGAATGAAATAAAGAAGAAAGCTTCAATTTTGGGTAACACTTAATGTTAATGTTTCCTTGTTACACATTACATGTAGTACTTACTATTATAATAACAATAAATTATGCATAATTACATGCAAGTAACCCTAAGCCAAACCCTAATCTTAACCCTAACCATATAGTAAGTACATGTAGTTAATTAATATTACTCCGTACTCAAATGTATAATTACACTGTAACAAGGACACCTTTAAATAAAGTGTAACCCAAATTTCATATTTCTGTTATCTCAGACATTTAGGAAATTTAGATTTATGTTAGACACACCCACTTGCAGAACTGTTTGTGTCGTTAATTTGCATATTAATTTGTCATACGCATCTTCAGCCTTGTCTTTGAGGTGAATTAAATGCATTTGACCGGCAGTCTTTGTGTTGTCACGTGACGTCCCCTCCCCCTGAGTGATGTGCTCGGGAACACTGATGTCTCCGAAAGGCTGTAAGAGGACCTTACAGCCTTTGTTGTGTGTTTGTGTGTGTGTGTGTGTGTGCCCTTGAGGAGTGCGGTGTCACTTCTAATCGCATCAGTGTGCCAGTAGCATGCGTCTCCTCATTGATCTTAATGGTGAGGAAGGCTGTGGGGTAAAATTGAACCAGTGAGGGAGTTTATACCTGCCTTTGCATTGTCAATGTCACCGCAAACAACATGACACGTGCCCCTCTTATCTCACTTCCTCCTGTGCTCTGTGTGTGTGTGTGTGTGTGTGTCTGTGTCTGTGTACAGGAGGAAGGTGGAGATCATGCACACACACAGCCTCTTCACGTTGCTCGGAGAGCGACTAATGATGCACACCAGCACTGTGACCATCACCACCTACAACACACTCTATGAGGTATCCACTTGTCTGCACGTAACGGTTCTAGGTTAAACACTTTCTATATATACAGTAATTCATTATAAAGGTATTTCTAAAGGTCCACACAGTATGTTTTGCTCTCAGGGATATGGCAGCTGTCACAAATGGAGAATCTCGCAAAACGAAGCAAACATTTTCAATTACCAGTGCCACTGTAGAAATTCTCTATATGGTTATATGATTATAACTACCATGATTCATTTTTACTAGAAGCAGAATTGTCCAATAACAAGAAATATTCATGTCTTTGTGTAAAACGAGTTTAGAACGAGGGAAAAATACACTTCAATGCATTTGAATAAATTATGATGCCTTATTATAACCATTGTAATCATTTATATCGATTCATAAATTTTTATTGCCACAGTTATTAAAACAATGAGCCACAAGAGGCTATGCATGTAGTGATTTTACCAAGAGTAAAAAGCATGAAACGTGTCTGAAACAGCTTTATGATAAACACCAATGTTTATTAAAATGATAATATCCAAGTTCCAGGCAATTCAGGAATATGTTGTATTAAAATAGAATATATTAAATAATGTGTTAGCAAAAATATTAATTATTTATATTCATATGTGTTTTTATAACACTTCATAGAAAGTGTTCTCCCTGAAACCTTATCTTTAATATATTTTTATAAGATGGATGATTATGTTTGTTTGAATAACATGTACAAAAAAAATTATTTCTAGTCTAATCAAACTGAATTTTGTCTAATGTAGATCTTAACAGAACAGGTTTGCACTCAGGTGGTGCACAAGCCTCACCCAGAACCCGATTCTACAGTCAAGATCCAAAACCCAAGTAAGTGTCTGTTGTTCATTTCATTTCTAGTTATTTTATCAGATCAGTTTCAACACACACCGGATCAATGTCTAAGCTCTCCTTCCTTTTTCCATTTCACTCTCTCCTTTTTCTTTTTGATTTTCTCAGTGATTCTGAAGGTTGTGGCTACGCTGCTTAAAAGTTCCTCCCCCAGCACTGAGCTGATGGAAGTACGACGCCTCTTCCTGTCTGACATGATCAAACTCTTCAGCAACAGCAGAGAGAACAGACGGTAAGCTGTTTGTACACACACTAGTGGTGAATACTAAATCTGTGTTTGGGTTTTTCTAAAGTAAAAACTTTTTTTTTATTTAATATACGTACACACTTTTTTCATGTTATGGCCAATACAAAACAATTTAGCTTAGAATATCAATAGGGAAAATTCATAGCTTTTTACTGTTGAGTAAAAAGGCATTTCCTCTCTAACCTTCTCTGAGAAAACACCTGACACACATAGAAACAAACCCTAATATTTATAGATAAACAGAAAATAGTTTTACAATTTGACAAATCCCCTCTTACATACAAACAGACATATGCAGACACTACAATAATTTTATACACGCAAGCTGTATGCAAACATCAGAAGCATTTAGCGTCTCCCTCTCAGTGGGAAAGACGCTCCCTCCTATTAAATCAATTAGCGTCATAATTAATGCATTGAGGAATGAAGATTTGATGTGGCATTCTCTCTGCATCGTTCCGTTTCATGGACTCCTGCGGAGGCTAAGCCTGACTGTCACCTGGACTCAGGTTACCCTTATTTGCTCATTAGTAAGATTTAGGTACATCAAGTGTGTGTGTATCTGCACACTTCTATCCTAAACAAGCCCACGGCGCACCATGCACCCAGGCCCACTCCGTAAGCTGCTGCCATGGTTACAACTGCATACCAAAATCACAATGCATATTTTAGCAGTGGTGAAGTGGGACTGCTTGTTTCTGTATTCCATAACAAGCCCAGCATTCTGAAGTGAGCAAACGTGTCTGGAATCTAAGATGACAAGAGTGAAGGAGTATTTCCAGCAAGTTCCAGCAATCATAAAGCACTCCCTCTTTAGTACTTTGCGTAGGCTGTTTGTTTTTATGTGGTTCTGATACGTTCAGCCTTTGTTTACAGAGTGATTCTCTAAGTTTAGATTTGATTTAGTTCTGATTATGGTGCGTAAAGTTTTCTAGGTTTCCATTACTGGAACGAATTAAACATTAGGTCATGCGACAATAATATAGCTTACTACTGTTTGAAAGATTTTTCAGAGCATTTCACACACTATTAAAAAATAGAAATACAAAATAAAATCACAACATTAATGCTGAGTAAGAAAAATGGGCATGGATATTTATTTTTAAGTGTTCAAAAGATTACATGTAACAGTGTTATTAAAGTTCTAGGGTTTTGGAAGGTTAACTTCAAATGAGCATTAGATGACTCAAAGGATGCAAAAATAGAGGAAGAGTATGCACATTTCAGTATCTTTTGAAAACTAGCGTAGAGTCACTGTTAAAAACAGGTGGTATAAAATTTAGCACCAGAGCTTTTACATCATTAAACCTTCTGCTTGAGTGAATAATTAGTCCATTCTGTCTAAATTTGCATCATGGTGTCATTGCAATGTGTGTAGGTGTCTGCTGCAGTGTTCAGTGTGGCAGGACTGGATGTTCTCTCTGGGCTACATTAACCCAAAGAACCCAGAGGAGCAGAAGATCACTGAAATGGTCTACAACATATTCCGTATCCTGCTTTACCATGCCATCAAGTATGAGTGGGGAGGCTGGCGCGTGTGGGTGGACACACTCTCCATCGCCCACTCCAAGGTTAGAGCAAGCCGCTTTTAGCGCTTTTCTTGATATAATTAGTTTCGTAATATCACATTTAATGGTTTTAATGCATTTCTTATGTCAGTGATGAATGAAAACGTTGTTATTTTTACCGTCTCCACTCTTTGGCCTTGTCTTTTGGTCATGCTAACAGCAATAGTATTTGATTTAGTTAAACACTGTTAAGTCTTTTTTTTCCCTAATTGGATAAGTGTCGCAATGATCCAATTGAATCCATCTAATGGTGGAGATGATAAAATAAAAATCTGCATGGAAAGTAGACCAACACCAAGGTAGACTCTCAACACTGCTATTCACCTCTTTTAGGTGACCTACGAGGCGCACAAAGAGTACTTGGCAAAGATGTACGAGGAGTACCAACGACAAGAGGAAGAGAACATCAAGAAAGGAAAGAAAGGTTCCGTCAGCACAATTTCCGGCCTTTCCGCCCAACCCACCGCTGTCAACGGAAACCTGGAGATCCGCGAGATTGATGACACATCTCAGACGCAGACACCAGAGAGCGAGGCAGACTATGGAGAAAATGCAGACTCTCGGAACCTGCTGGCCGAGACCAAAGGTCCGGAGGGCGAAGCCGAACGGTCGGCGGCGGGGGTTCGTGTGGAAGTTCATGACTTGCTGGTAGACATCAAAGCTGAGAAGGTGGAGGCTACAGAGGTCAAATTAGACGATCTGGATCTGTCCCCGGAGGTTCTTGGAGGAGGAGGTGGCATGGAGAATGGTCCCTTGGTGGAAGTAGACTCGCTGTTGGACAGCGCCTACTGTGCAGCAGTTCACAAGCTCAATGGGAGCCTTGTCCCCAAAGAGGAGGAAAGCGTTGTGGTGGGTTTAACTGAAGAAGATGGGAACATGGGTCCTCTAATCACACTCGCAGATGAAAAGGACAGCGTTCCCAGCAACAATGGCTTCTTGTTCCCCAAGGTGGATGAGAAGCTGCTTCCCTCATTGGCGTCGACGGAGCACCTGGTGCTGCCCAGCCCTGAACAGCCTCCTTGTCCAACAACTCCACACACTTCAAGTGCCAGTGACGACCTCAGCCTGCTAGCCCACATGACTTCTTGTGGTTCAGATCTGATTCAAACCCCAAGTGGCCTAACAGAAGATGATGGGTTTAAGTTGCAGAGCTCCTTGGCGGACATCAGCACACTGGCAGAAGCCGAGGCCCAGGCTGCAGCCAGGACAGCAGAGTGTTTGGAGCAAGAGGTTGGGGAGGCTAGGGCAGGAAAGAGCGGCTGTGATGCAGCCAGCACCACTTCAGACACAGAGAGATCCGACGATGGAAAGGACAAAGAAATGAAGAAGATTCAGACTACAGCCACCACGCAGGTGCGAATCACTCATTTATTATTTGTTGCGTTTGCCCACTGATGGTAACTCTCGGAAATGTTTACTCACCCTCATGTTGTGCAAAACCTGTATGACTTAGGCTACGTTTACACTAGTGCGTTTTCGTTTTAAAACGCATAACTTTTGCTATGGTTACGCCTGTCATTTATACTGCTCGTTTCTACACAGACTTTTGAAAACGATGCAGACCTTGTTTTAGTTTGAAGACTCCAGGGTTGTGTTTCAGTGTTAATGAGCCAAAATGGAGACTTTTGAAAATAATGGCGTGGCTGCCTACATTCACTCTGCATATCTTGATGACCGTGCAAACAATAACATCATGCTCACCTGCCAGTGACTAGCAACCAGCTTCCTGTTTACACTTTTACGCACATGCCCAGTGTGCACGAATGGTCATGTGACATGTTTTCGGTTGTGTAGTGTGGACGGAGATCGTTTCTGAAACGCAGTAAAAATGGCAGTGTAGACGAGGATCGTTTTCATTTTAAAACGAAAACACACTAGTGTAAACAGGGCATACTTTCTTCTGTGGAACACAAAAAGAATCTTTATGCTGCCCTTTTCCATAGATGAAAGAGAATGTGGGCAGATGCTGTTAAGCTCCAAAAATTAGTAAAGTTGTCCATATGACTTTTCTCATCAGTTTTCTGAAACCTTACAATGCAATGAAACCAACCGAAATTAAAAAAACTATTCAGTGCAATTGCAATCACTTTTCTACATTTCAAAATTGGTGCATTGCATTTGGTTAAGAGGCATCTGAGAATATGTCCTTTGGCGTCATTGTTTTCAAACCCTTCTTAACATGTCTTACTGTGGTATATTTGAAAATATCAGGGATGTCCAATCCTGCTCTTTTTAAGGACCGCCAGTTTAGCTCCAACAGTGAGTCTGAAGACCTTGATTAGCTGGTTTAGGTGTTTAACTGGGGCTGGAGCTAAAGGTAGTCCTCTAGGAGCAGGATTGGACATCACTGGAATATTGACACAAATGAGATTTGAAATCTCTGGCTGAGGACAATATTTCGAGAAGGTAACAAAGTAGTAACGAAATAACTTTATTTGAAGAATCTCCTTTTGTGTTCCACCAAGGATAGACTGTTATATGGGTTGCCACTCAACCTCAGTCTGGTTTAGAACCAGGAAAATTAAATAAACAAATGAATGCTGTAATGAACTAACAAGCAATCAAATCTTCTTGCTTTCCTGCAGGCTCTTCATGGTCGTATGTCGGGTCAGATGGAGAGGGACCTCTGTGTGGATCTGGGCTTCCGGGGCATGCCGATGACAGAAGAACAGCGGCGGCAGTTTAGCCCTGGCCCTCGCACTACCATGTTCCGTATCCCAGAATTCAAATGGTCACCCATGCATCAGCGCCTTCTCACTGACCTGTTGTTCGCTCTGGAAAGTGACGTACACATGTGGAGGAGGTATGAGAGTTTTTGGCCTTTAGAAATTACCAGCCAAGACATCTTCCCAGATGAACGTCTTGTGTTGTCCTGGAACAACTTTTCTGACCCCCTGATCCCCAACCCTAACCCTACTCCTTGCCCTCTCTGTAAAATCAGATTGGTTGTTCTAGGACCAACAAGGATGTTATACTCTAGTTCTCTGTAACCTCTTTTGTGTTACTTGACAGTAAAACTCTGAAAAGATGAACATATTATATGCTTTTACATGGTCTTGCTTCACTGCTGTCTTCTTTTGTTCTCTCTTTCTCTCAGCCACTCTACGAAATCGGTCATGGACTTTGTAAACAGTAACGAGAACATTATATTTGTCCACAACACCATCCACCTCATTTCTCAGATGGTTGATAACATCATTATAGCCTGTGGCGGGATCCTTCCCCTGCTCTCTGCTGCCACCTCCCCATCTGTAAGTGGCACTTGAGCGGCCCCTAGTGGATATTCACATCAGTACAACATCCTTGAATTATAAAACCACTTTCTAGTGGCTAGTTTTTCTTTTTTTTTTTGTTTGGAAGGGCTGTAATGGGATTATTTAGAATCCTATAGAAGAAAAAAGTTGTTCCTGTTTCTATTCCCTGAATATCACTGAATGTTATATTGACGCTGAATGGCGACAATACATGTCTGATCTTATACAGATTTCAAGAATAAGTCCAGATCAGTATTTTTGCCTACACATAGAAACATCCATGAGTGCTGCTGTGCTGATGTCAAATTTCATCCTCTGTCGGTGCTTTTACCCTGAGATCTTAAATATGAACGCAATCCCAAATTTTGCCGCTTTCTTCTCCTGTGTTCTTTGACATTTTACCTGCAATCTAACCTTTTTATTTCTGGCAAACATTCTTACAGCGTTTTCTGAAATTTTCTCTGACTGACTCTATTGCTTATTAACCAGCTTTTTTGTGCCTTTGTATCCTTTTGTTGTCTGTATTGCCTCTAATTCCTTCTTCCCCTTCCCTGTTTCTCTCTTTTTTTGTCTTTTTTATTTCGTTTGCATGTACAGAGTTCTAAGGTTAGTGCAAACCCTGTAAGTTCCCATTTATTTATTCTTCTCTAACATTCACCTTCTTGTTTATTTTTTAATGTTACATTTTAATATCACTAATTCCACAGATCAAAATGTATGGTCCATTTCAGATCATTTCCATCTTTTCTGTCTTTTTCAGCCTCAGACTATGTGTACATTCATTCAGTTTATTCACCCAAAGATTTATGATATATGAATTGCACTCAAAAGTTGCACTCAGTAACTCATGTTCATGTTAAGCTGACCAATATTCCATCCGTCTTGGATTTGGTATAGAGGAATTATAAATGCATCATGCAAAAGTTTTCAGGTTCATATAAAAATGTGATATCTGCGGTCAGTCATGATTAATTTATTATCTATGTAAAAGTGTCCAGTAAGTAGTGAGTAGTATCTGGCTGATCGTATGATTTTTAAAATGGCAGCCACGTAAAAAGTAAGTGAACATGATTTTAAATATATTTTCAGAAGTACATTTTTTCTTCACGTATAGAACTCTTTTAATTAGTAAAACAAACGGAGTGCACCTTTAAATATGAGATTATGGATGTATTAAAGTGCAAACTTACCAGTATTATTCTGTTATATGATCCGTTTAAGTGATCGTATCTGATTAAGTATTTTATCAGACCTTCATCATAATCATCTGTTATTCATGGAAAGCCTTCAAACAGACAGATACTGATATTAAATTGCATTAAATAAATTAGCACACACCATGGTGCTGTGATGAGCCCCCCGGCTCTATTGGTCCATTTATAAGGGTCTTTATTAAATGTCAACTTCATTTGTTCCCCTCTGTGTTGGTCATAAAGACACAAGGAGCTTCTTGCTTACAGAAAGGGACAAAAAGCAATGAAGTTAATAGCCTGCCAGGAAGCTCTGGCACAGGGGCAGAGGTGGGTCCGAGCTATCGCCCCTATACATACCCACAATGCACCACTGCGTGACCTCTTATTCGCCACTATTATGTCTCCTAGCAACAAGCATGTTCCCAGTTTTCAACATCAATTATGTTAGTTTCAGCACATTTTCAGAGCTGTGGGTTTTAAGATAGTGGTTCATATCTCCATCACCCCATATTTTTCAAAAGATTTTAAAAGCATATTTGCCACTGCTTGAAAGACTCCTTAGTGTTTTCTTTTGCTTTGCAAAAAGGTTTGTTCTTTGTAATACATCATGTAATTATGTTGAACTTTTGATATTGATGTTGCAAAATGGTGACGTGTTTCCTGACCACCGCAAAGATTAAGTGCACACGGCACTGCAGCACTGACTGTTCACACACAAATAGGTGTCACACTGGTTTGAACACACTTCCTTCTAGTGGTGTGAGGTTTTCCAAGAGAGGCATGTTTCATGTGAAGTTGGCCTGGCATTATTGATTTGCTGCTATCACACATTTGTTTGTTTGTCAGCACATTGTCAGTAGCATAATCATGTATAGATGTGAGCATTACTCTGTGTGTGTTTTTGCTTCAAAATGTATTAGGATATGTGTCTAAACTTCTGGATTTTGGTTATGTGTATGTGTGTCCTCCCAGATGGAGCTTGAGAATGTGGAGGCGACCCAGGGCATGTCGTCAGAAACGGCTGTCACGTTTCTGAGCCGGCTGATGGCCATGGTGGATGTGCTCGTGTTTGCCAGTTCTCTCAATTTCAGCGAGATTGAGGCTGAAAAGAACATGTCGTCAGGGGGACTAATGCGCCAGTGTCTACGATTAGGTATGTGTGATGTATCATACCCATCTAAATATTTCAAATATGTCATTTTTGGTATACTGTATGTTCTTTGACTAAACATATAAGGTTTTTGTACATTGGTGAAGTACTGTATTTAACTTATGTGGCAACAAAACCACTGGTTAAAAAGAAGTTAATATATGAGGCCAATTAAACAAACAAGACCCCCAGTGTTTACACTCCTCGAATGACTCACTTCTCTCCCCATTATTAATATGGGATAGAAGAAATATTTAGACATTGATAAAATACACATTTCACCTTTAAAAGGGGTTTGAGGGGTTAATGCGCAACTATGTATGTACACTACCATTCAAAAGGACTTTTAAAAAGAAATTAATATTTTTATTCAGGAAGGAGGCATTAAATAAATCAAAAGTAACATGAAGACTTTTACATTGTTACAAAAAATATTTCAAATCATTTTTGATTCTTTCTGTTCATCAGAGAATCGTGAAAACATGTTATCACCGTTTCCACAAAAATCTTAGTTTCATATTAGAATGATTTCTGAATGATTTCTGAAAATTCAGCTATGCCATCACTGGCAAACATTTTAAAATATATTAAAATAGAAAACAGTTTTTTTTTTATTGCTTTTTTTTTTTTTTTTACAATATTACTGTTTTTATTGTATTTTTGATCAAATAAATGCAGCTTTGATGAGCATAAGCGGCTTCTTTCATAAACATTTTTTACTTTTACTTTTTATCTTACCAACCCACTTTTGAACGGTAGTGTAGCTGTGTGTCTGTGTGGTGTGATGTGAATATCAAGCCAGACGTTCTAGTAAAACTGTTTGTCTCTTCTCAGTATGTTGTGTAGCAGTGAGGAACTGTCTGGAATGCAGGCAGAGGCAGAGAGACAGAGGCAGCAAAAGCTCGCTGCCAATCAGCAAGACCCAGGAGAACCTACAGACTGCAGCATCCGCCAGCAAGGTTATACACTCACACACCTGCACAAACACAAGAGAACAGACACGTATGCACACAAACACACTAAAGAGTCTCTGAAAACAAATCAAATGCACATTAGAAACACAGAAACAGAACAAAAGGCAATACATTTTTACTATAAAAACTATAAAAATGATTTGCATAATTAAACCAGTGTATGTCCATGTGTGTGTGTGTGTGTGTGTGTCCTGTGGTTTAATGTATGATTCTCTCATCCTCTCTGCCGCAGACCGTCATACAGAACGTCCCGCGTAACCTTTCTCCCATCAAAGACCCAGACAGACTGCTGCAGGACGTGGACATCAATCGTCTCCGAGCTGTCGTTTTTAGAGACGTGGTGAGACACTCACTTACCTGCGCCGGAGCAAAGCGTGTATGTTTACATGACCAGAATGATTGTTAACCATACTCTGTGTTCAACAGGATGACAGTAAACAGGCTCAGTTCCTGGCTCTGGCTGTGGTCTACTTCATCTCTGTCCTTATGGTGTCCAAATACCGGGACATCCTGGAGCCACAACGGGAGATCGGCAGGTCCAGCAGCCTATCAGGGAGAAGCATCCGACAAGAGATTAATTCACCCACCAGCACAGGTGAACTTGGCATCTGCAGTGTCATTATGAGCGTGTGACCTTGATTATACTCAATAGATGTGTATCTTTAGTCATTTACCACTTAAACACCCCAAAAATGCTAAGTGTTTAAACGCAGTCAAACACCTTCCACTCACACATTTCTTAACTGTCTCTGATTATCTCTGCTATATAGTCATCCAGTTACTCCCCGCAGGGAGGATTTCATCAACTTAAGTGTGCAAGGCATTATTGCAAAGCTTTATCTGAGTGCAATATTGAATTAATACTCAGGTGGAAAGAACTGCTTAGCATAGGCTGCAGTAAACTGCACAAACTGTATCTCTTATGGAAGCAGCTCTGAAATGCTTCTGTAATGACTGAATTTCTGCTCTTATCTCTGACTTATGTTCAGCAAGATCGCATCTATTTGTTAAATAATAAAGTTAAAATAGTAATATTATGGAAAATTATTACAATTTAAAATAACAGTTTTTTTTTGTTTTGATATATTTTAAAATGTAGTTTATTCCTGTGATGACAAAGCTAATTTTTTTAGCAGCCATTACTCCAGATTTCAGTGTCAGTTGATCCTTCAGGAATCATTCTGATATGCTGATTTGATGCTCAAGAAACATTTCTTATTAATATAAATGTGAAAAACAGTTTTTGCTGCTTAATATTTTGTGGAAACCTCAATATACTACCCTTTAAGAGATTAAAAGAAAAAAAAGAATACTTTTATTAATCAAGGGCAGTAAATACATTTATAATTTTACAAAATATTTCTATTTTTAAAAATCCTGTTCTTTTGAACTGTCTATTCATCAAAGAATTCTGAAAAAAAATGTACCATGGTTTCCACAAAAAATATTAAGCAGCAAAATCTTTAATGATAAAAAAAAATCTATTATTAATAATCGAGCATCAGCAATAATTGAAAATAACTGAGCAACAAATCAGCATATGTGACCCTGGAGCACAAAACCTTAAGTAGTCTTAAGTAGCTCGGGTATATTTGTAGCAATAGCCAAAAATACATTGTATGGGTCAAAATTATCGATTTTTCTTTTATGCCAAAAATCATTAGGATATTAGGTAAAATCCTATCCTAACAAACCATGCATCAATGGGAAGCTTATTTATTCAGCTTTCAGATGATGTATAAATCTCAGTTTCAAAAAACTGACCCTTATGACTGGTTTTGTGGCTGGTCACATATTAGAATAGTTTCTGAAGAATCATGTGACACTGAAGACTGGAGTAATGATGCTGAGAAATCAATTTTGCCATTGCATGAATAAATTACATTTTCAAATATATCAAATCAGAAAACAGATATTTTAAATTATAATTATATTTTAGAATATTGCTTGTTTTACTGTATTTTTTGTCAATAAATGCAGGCTTGGTGAACACAATAGACGTATTTCAAAAACTAAAAAAAAACATAATTATTCAAAACTTTTGACCACTAATTTATGTGTGCAAATTTCAGAAAACCCATCTTCCTTCTCGGATGGTGTACGTGGAGACCGCCAAGCCGCCACCCCTCTGGACGATCTTCCCCTGGAGGGATCACTGCCTCACACTGACTCTGGCATCGGGGAGGAGCAGGTCACCAATGTTCTCAATGGTTCCGAGCTGGGCGCAGACTCCAGCGGATTTGGTGGGAGCTCTGGAGGCCCGGATGCCATGAGCGAGTTGCTGTGCACACTGTCGTCGGAGGTGAGGAAGTCCCGTGAGTCCCTGTTGGAGTCGCCTCCTGGCATGGAGGTTCTGAAACCAGCTGCGTCGATCTCCAGCATCAGCCAGGCCAACAAGGGAATCAATGTGAAGGAGATCCTGAAGAGTTTAGTGGCAGCACCGGTGGAGGGGGCAGAGGCAGGGCCTGAGCCCCAGCCGTACCACCCTGACCCTGCCCTGAAGAGGGAAGCTGCTGCCATGCTGCCCATGCAGTTCCACTCGTTTGACAGGTGGGCAGCTCTAGCGTGTCTAGCACATCAAATAACACAGGTTATGTTATGCTTGTCTTTCATGTATGTTTCAGACCAACCTTTATTAACAGGCAATATTATTAAAATAATTGTTAAAATAATTAAAAGTATTAAACCCAAGACCCAGAAAGCTGAGCACATCAAGCTTAAATATATAATATAGCAATTTATAATTAATCGCATCCAAAATAAAAGTTTTTGTTTACATAATATGTGTATAGTGTGTATATTTATTATGCATATATAAATACACACACATACAGTATATATTTTGAAAATATTTCCATGTATATATTTATATTAATATAATTGATACTACATATAAATATTTTAAATGTATAAACATAACATATTTTTCTTAAATATATACATGCATGTGTGTGTATTTATATATACATAATATATATACACAGTACACACACATATTATGTAAATTTGTTTTGGATGTGATTAATCGCTATTAATCGTTTGACAGCACTATTTATAATATTATATTTTAATATTAAATTTTTAAAATATAGACATTTCACTTAGGTTAACATTTAATAATATAAACCTTTGGACCCACTTTATATTAAGTGGCCTTAACAACTATGTACTTACATGTAAATTAATAATTTGGTACAATGCACTTATTGTGTACATACATGTTTTTACATTGTACTTATATTTTAAAAATACCTGCATGTAATTACATCTGTAATTAATTTCTGTAATTACATTTATAATTATTAAAAGGATAATTTACCCAAAAATGAAAATTCTGTGATCATTTACTCTCCCTCAAGTTGTTCCAAACCTGTGTGAGTTTCTTTCTTCTGTTGAGCACAAAAGAAGTTATTTTAAAGAATGTTGGTAATCAAACAGTTGACGGTAGCCACTGACTTCAATAGTATGGAAAAAAAAAATACTATGGAAGGCAATGGCTACTGTCAACTACACAATAAAGAAACTCACGCAGGTTTGGAACAAGTGAAAACTGTAATGTAAGCTAATTAAAAACCAGACTCACGCTGTTAAAAAAAAAAAACTCTCCCCAACAAGCAGATTCCTGTCAGCAGCTTGCTTTTTAAAGATGTTATCTGGCAGTTTCTTCACACTCACTAAATATTCCACAGGAAAAGCAGAAAGTGTTGGCCACTGTCATAAGAAACTGATGGTAACTGAAGGTCAGAGAGTTACAGGATGCTATAAAAAATCAGGTTTGGGTTAATGATCCGAGGTGACTACTTTTTATTACAAGAACATCATAGATCAGAATGATGGCCTGTCAAATATCATTTCAGGTGATTCCTTCCCAGGCCACTATATTCAGCAAAAATATGTAGCCTAAGCTACAGAATATGGTGGCAGCCTGATTTAGGAATTACAACTAAAATATACAAAACATATACTGTCCTGTATGTGACTGAATGTTTAATAGTGTCTACTAAGGTCCATTCATCATGATGATGGGACGGCCAGATCAGCACGTCCACTGTTACACATACAGTATAATTAATCTTCAGGCTTGCTGCAAACAGGTGTTTTACATAGCACATAAACCTGCAATCCAACCTGGAAGCAGCTGAGCACACAAACACGATATGGCCTCATAATTTCAACATACCACATGTAGAAGAATGTGACGTTCGCTCAGAATTTTGGAACACCTGGCGCCAGAGAAGACTTTAAAAATCACTAAGAAGAAAAAAACTCTTTACCCTTCACTGAAGCTATTTTTTTATTAATATATACAGTATCTACCAATGTCTACCAAATGTCTACTTATCTTTCCACAAATATCTAATTACCCTATTTCACAAACTTTAGTGAAATAAGTGATTTTAACTTGTGACAGGATGAGTGTGGTTGGAAGGTCAAGGTGGTAAAACTTCTGCTTTTTTATTTCTTTTTTCACAGTTCACCTGTATGTCTCTGTAGAGTTTTACAAGACTAGAAACAGGCCAGCTTTCACGTCTTCTCACCGGAAAATAGGGCAGAACACTTTTCCTTTCCTTCCACACATACAATGGCTCCGAAAAAGTATTCAGACACACCTAAAAATGTGTGAATATCAAAATATCAAACCAAGTGGCATTTTTCTTAAAAGCATATCACAAACACTCTTTTCAAGCTAATTTTCAAATGCTAAAAAAAATGCTATTGTTCAAAACAAATTGACAGTTTCTGGTTGTCAAACTGGGACCCACTTTATATTAAGTGGCCTTAACAACTATGTACTTACATGTAAATTAATAATTTGGTACAATGCACTTATTGTGTACATACATGTTTTTACATTGTACTTATATTTTAAAAATACCTGCATGTAATTACATCTGTAATTAATTTCTGTAATTACATTTGTAATTACACAGTTGACCCATCCCTTATACCTTAACCCACCCTTAAACCTACCCATACCAACAAACCTGTCCCTAACCTTACCCATATCCCACCTTGATAGCAGCAAAAGTGTTTTGCAATACAATATGAACACAATAAGTACATTGTACTTCATTTTTGATGTATGTAAGTACTAGTTAAGGCCACTTAATATAAAGTGGGGCCAAACCTTTTAGTACAGACTCACAATACACTGAGGTTAATAAACAATGATATGCTTCTCTAAAAAACAATCGATGTCAAAGTAATTTAGATTTCATAAAAAAAACAAAAACATTTTAATCTATGTAATCTAATATAATGTAATATAGTTTAATCATACATATATATTTTTTTATTAATTATATAAAGTTAAGTTCAGCAAAATGAAATATTTTATGCTGCCTGCCTTTTGGAACAGCTTTTGCTTCAGGCGTGCACTTTTGTTATCTTAAAATGGATTTTGGAGCAGAGCGATTGAACCAATAAATCATTCATGAATCAATGCAGTTACACTTACATGTGGTCTGTCAAGACTTTTTGAGAACAAATGAAGTAAAGAACACCTTAATTACACATACGCAAGCACAAGGCCTTCCCCTCATTTTTAATGCAGTCCATTTCTCTGAGTCTAGCTCCTCATTACTGCACAGGCGTCTGCAGAAATGCCAGTGGCTCTGTGCAATAGTGTGCTCAGGGCTCAAGAGACTGACTGGCTTAGTGTGTGGGATCCACTGATACTCTACAATACAAACTAAAGCCCCTCTGAACATTAATCCTCTTTGTTCTTCCCAATTAAGAAAACCTGATGAATAAATTATACATAAGGTTATATGCTGTTAATCATTGACAGGCTTCTTGAATGTTAATAATTAATCAGGGCAGGTTAATATTTTATCATACTCTCCTTTTTCACCATGGGGTGGGCTGAAATGGTAAATAAATTAAATAAATGTTTTTATTTAAATGTTACCGAAGTTTTTTACTCATTTTTACTCATTAAAGAATCCTGAAAACAAAATGTTTCATAGTATCTAAAAAATATTAGGCAGCACAATATTTAAAATTTATAAGATAAATTAATACAATTAATAAGAGATTTATTTTGCACCAAATCAGTATATTAGAATGATTTCTGAAGGATCATGTCACACTGAAGAATGGAGAGATTATACTGAAAATTCAGCTTTGAAATCACAGCAATAAATGATATTTTAAAATATACTCTAACAGAAAATTTTATTTTAAATTGTAATAATATTTCACAATAATTCTGTGTTTACTGTATTTATTATCAAATAAATGCAGCCTTGTTGAGCATAAAACACTTCTTTCAAAAACATTTACAATGTTTTAGTGACACCATACTTTTGAACGGTAGTGTATTTACTTTTAATTTATTGTTAATATTAATAATATTATATATTTAAATATTATTATAATTAAATATGATTATTATTATTATTATATATTTAATAATAGGCATTGTATACTTAGAATTTTGTTCGCACTTTGAAGAATTGCTTATGCTTATCTACTGCAACTCACTTTGGATAAAAAAGAGATTTTAAAAAATCTTACCGACCCCAAACTTTTTAATGGTAGTGTATATATAAGTGTTTGATTTAGGTTATATAAAATTATTTTGATGGGAAGTCTTGTGATTAATTCTTGAGTATAATCAATACGTGTGTGTGTGTGTGTGTGTGTGTGTGTGTGTGTACACACTCTCAGGAGTGTGGTGGTGCCTGTTAAGAAGCCCCCTCCAGGAGGCCTGGCTGTGAACACAGTAGGAACACCCACCACCAGTGGAGTGCCCTCGTCAGGAAGTACGCCCAATATCTTTGCTGCTGCCACAGCAACACCTAAAAGCATGATCAACACAACAGGCGAGTCGTCCTGAATATTTCCATCATCTCACAGTCCCATGAGCATATACATTTTGCTGGTCTATATATGCATTTAATTCCTGCATATCACTTTAATAATTTTTTTCCATTTAGTCTTGTCATGGGCTTTCATAAGTTTAGACACTTTTCTAAACGTAGTGACCATTTTAGACATTTAAGCGTCCTTTGTAGCTCTATAAACAAACCTTTTTTTCTTTGGGATAGTCAGCTTTTCTTGTGCTTAATCCATCTCGTCCATTATGTCTCACAGGTGCCACTGACTCCGCCTCTTCCTCATCCTCCTCTTCATCAAGTTTCGTGAACGGTGCCACAAGTAAAAACCTACCAGCGGTGCAAACCGTTGCACCCATGCCTGAAGACACAGTGGAAAACATGAGGTACACACACACACTCATGCTCTTCCTCACTTTATCCAGTTATCCACATGCTTAAAACCTTAAATCATGCATTCTCACTTCCTGTGCTCATCCTGTTTTTTTTTTTTGGCAGTCTTACTTCTTCCAATGATTCCCATAATCTATTAGTTTCTTCACTTTACATCTGTCTCCTCTCTACACTTCCCTATCTGTGTATCTTTGTAACCACAGCCACAGATTCCCTCACAGACACATACTGAGGTCTCTGTGCATTTTTAAAGATGCACTTTGAGGTACTGATAGTCTGAAGTGTATTTCCTGCCGAACATGGTTGGGTACATCTGTTCTAATTTGAATGCAACAGAATAGATTTTCTTCATTTTTGTCTCTTTGCATGTACGACACGGAAGCTTTGAGGCTCAATCATCCTTTGATTTGGCACAGATCAACACACGGGGATTACGTCACACTTTAGACTAAGAGCTGCAGTGAATGCCTGTACAGTCATTACTGTCTGTTTGTGCCCATTTGTATTGCAGTGCCTTTTGTGAAGTGGACCAGTGTCCACTGCGAACCAGGCTGACGCCTCCTGAACTCAAATCCTTTAGTTCGCTGACAGGATTCCAAACAGCCCCCAGAGATGCAGGACAGTTTCTTAGGCAAGGAAGCTTGAACTGGCCCCCCTTACCCAGTGCTACCAGCTTAACATTCCCTTCCCTTTTTTCTCTCTGTCTTTTTGTTTTCTCTCTTTTTCTGCCTCTTTTTCCTGGTGGTTGTGAGTTTTCAAGCTGGCCAGCTACACCACCGCTGCTGCTTTTATTTTTTTTAACGGTTCTGCTAGATTTGATTCTGTCTCTTTTTCTCGTTATTTACATTGTCCAAACCAGGTATGACGCCATAAATGTTCAAGAATAACAGTCATGTCTCTTTGATTTTAACTTGATCAATTCATTTTTTTTAAACAAGTGTGCCAGCGTTATTTTAGAATTTTTTAATATATATTTGTAATTACATTTTTGTATTTATTTTAATTTGTATTTTAATTTTAGTTTGTTTGTCTTTTTTCATGTTTATTAGTTGTTGTTTTTTTATGTATATTTCTATTTCACCTTATTTTTATTTTTGTTTAAGTGATTTTAGCTTTATTTTAGTTACCAAAATAATTTTTTTAAATAGTTTTAGTTTTAGTGGTTTTTATTTCCATTGCATTATTCTGGGTAGCCCTACCCACTGTAAAATCTTATCTGTATTTTTATGCTGCCTTCACATCATATTTATTGAAAAGAAGAGATTTTACTTTTGAGCTTTTCACGGGGACAGACTAAGTAATTTGTTTCTTTGGTGCAGTGTTTAACACAAATAAATCCATGCGTGGATTTGGTGTTTACAGACAGACACTTACATAAACTGACCAAAGAAAGAACGCCACATAAGAATAGCTGTAATAAAATGGAATATCAAGCAGGTTGCTACTTAACTGCCCTTCACCGATGAAGCTGCTGCCATTTTGGTTGTTTTTACATGACAATTTCAATAAAGTGAACGGTTTTTACTAGCCGCCAACTTAATACACAAACGTGATGTGAATACAGCATAGACAGCAAATATGCTCTGATTGGCTGTAATTTCCAGTCTTTGCATCACACCTGGTTAAGATTTAGTCTCAGTGACTTGAGCTAGTGTTTGTAACTGAAATACTGCAAAAAACAAACACATTGATAGTCCATAAAAAGCATATACATTCCTAATCAGCAGTAATGTTTTCCAATAACTTGACAGAATCAACCCTGCTAGCTTGCCGTTTCAGTAGAGACATTGTCATTAATCATATCAAGTCATTCCTTGTTTGCACCACACTGGATGTCCTCAGACCTTTAGCTTTCACACTCACCCTAGTCTGTCGTCATTTGCATCCCTGGCGCTGAAGTTATAGTCTTAGCGCAGGTTAACTCAGCTTGTAGCTAAGCGCAGTGGCACTTAAGGGTGATGTGTGCAGTATAACAAGGTGATTTAAGCATTAAGCATTTGCTCTTTCTGCCTCCCTGTGGTTGAATTCCTGAAGGTTGGCTTTAACCCAGCAGTAACGCCATAGACTTTGTCACATACTAACCAGCTGGAATTAAAAGGAAGTGTGATTTTTAAACTGGTCTTTGTATTTTGGAGCTAACTGGAGTATTTCTCTCTATCTCTGTCTTTCATTTTCAACCCGTAGTATCACGACTAAATTGGAGCGCGCCTTAGAGAAAGTGGCCCCCTTGCTGAGGGAGATCTTTGTGGATTTCGCCCCCTTCCTTTCGCGGACTCTGCTGGGCAGTCATGGGCAGGAGTTGCTCATAGAAGGTACAGGTGCTGTATAGTGCTCCTTTTCCTCTCTACCTGGTGTCTCTGTGGAGTCCCTCACTGTCTGCTGTGTGTGTGTCCACTGGCTGCCTCATACACACACAATTGTGCGAGTGCATGGACCCAGAGCAGGTATGAGAAAAACAGAACTGCTTAGGATGAAAGGATGTTCAAAAAAATGTAGATGAAGGGACTGAGGGAAGATTGGCAGGCTAAACTTTGAAGAAGTGATTTAAGAGATGCCTAAAGGTGTACAAAAAAAAAAAAAGACTTCTCAACAATAAGGATTTTCCCCGCCTTTAAGCCTAGTCATATATATATGCAAAGCTAATAATTTCATTGGCCTCACAACACAAATTAATTTTTAATTAAAATATGCATAAATAACGAAAATTTAATAAATTAATAATAATAATATATTTAAAAATATACAGTTGCTATACAGATATTACAGTGGTATGCAAGACATTTTGTAATTCTTTCTAGTTAAATTTATTTGCATAAAAATAAATTTTTAGTTTTGTATTTAAATTTGTGTATACATTTTTGTGTCAGACAAAATATATTTTATGAAACACTTTCTTTACCAGAAAGGAAAAAAAAACTGTATGAAACAAATAAACACAAACAATTAGTTTTTAAATTTGCAATAATAGCTGGTATGGAAAGTGACAGTTCCATCAGCTGGCCCAAGACTTGCTCACACTGGGCCCAGCCTATCAGACCATCTTTACTGTTGAGTCCTGAGAGGACATCCTCTCTTCATTTCATCAGAAATCAAAGGAAACCTAAATCTGAAGATTCAGATCTAGAGTGAATCACTTTTGCTTCTTGTTTCACCACTGTCTTTTGTCTCCTTATATTTCCTTCCTCTCTTCTTCACCCCCCTTATTAATATCCTCTCCCTCCCCTCCCCGTTGTCCTGTCAAGCTTTAATGTCTGTGCTCTCACCTTGTCTTGACCTCCTCACAGTTTAATGTTTGTCTGTTTTTGTTGTTTAAAATACAGCAGAACTGTGTGTACATTAGAAAATAGATGTATCACTTTAAAGTTTTGAGCCAATTACGTTAGGTAATTTTATGTTACACACATGTACAGTGGGGTCCAAAAGTCTACACTGTGTTGTCAGTCTTTTGAAACCCGCTGAGGTTTATATTCATCTTTTAGACATGCGCATGCTAAAATCTGTCTTTTCTGTCAATGCACTGCCACAGGCTTAGTTTGTATGAAGTCCAGCACATCGGTTGTGGAGCTTGTGATGCTCTTGTGCTCGCAGGTGAGATTTCTCTCTTTATTCTCTAATAATTTATTTTGAATAATTCACTTTGACTTCAGTATTTTCCATCACCGCACAAGTTACATTCATATTTCAGGCTTCATAAACAGTGAATAAACTGCACTTAAACAGCTTAAAATCTTGGAAAAGGTCACAGCGCTGCAGTGTGGCAACATTTCATCAATCTTTTGAGCCTCTTTTGAAGCTTTGTGCTTGACCTAAACAGAATCTGATTTCAGACCCACCCTACATTACGCTGAAGCCAGTGTGGGTATCAAAGTATTACTGCATACTTCTGAACTTCCAAAGCAAAATACATTCACATTTTATCAGTTCATGCATTCTGAGGGAATCAAACCCAAGACCTTTGCTTAGCACTATGCTTAACTGTTTGAGAGCTACAGTAATGCGTTTTTTGCTTCCAATAATTCAATTCAATTCAAGTTTATTTGTATAGCGCTTTTCACGATACAAATCGTTGCAAAGCAACTTTACAGCAAATAATGCCACTAAACTTCACGTATTCACATTCTGAAAGTATTCCTGTTGTTTTTCACAATCTTTATACAGAATTGATTAATCAACCGTGTCTGAAGGCATTTAGTGTTTAGAGATAAAGAATTTTCACTTACCTTTAAAACACTCCATTGAAAATCCATCACTGTGCTCCATAATATGCTTTGCTTTCAATCCACATGAGGAGAAATGTATTTTCTTACCACTAATCAAACATTTCAAAACAGAATTATCATAGAATTACATCTGGATGTCAGTATCTTATACTAGGAGCCCCACTGAACCTCTTTGAACTCTTCTGAATGATCAAGATTTCAGACTACCGCATCTCAGCAGGCTTCCTCTGCCTTCAGATTTGGAGTCAGGATTAGGAGCTTTGGGGTGTAGCAGTGGCCCATTCAGTGTTTGATGCCCTCTCATCTTCCTTTCCCCTCCCTCCTCTATTTCCCGTCATCGCTCCATCAGCACATATAGTATTACTGAAGCTCCAGGCCCTCCATTAGTGGCTCAGGGGACGAAACCGTACCCTAAATATTGATTGGCAGGAAGCAGAAGGTAATGGGAGCTGCCTGTGATGTGTCCTTCTAGAAGCATCTGCAGTGGATGCTAAGTGCATTCTGCCTCTCTTTCTCGATAGTCACTCTCGCTTATATGGCAAAGAGCCAATCAGGAAAGATCATCAGTGCATCTCTTCAGCAACCACATCAGGCGCCTAAATCATCCACACTGAAAAAAGACACAAACATTGTTTTTATTATAGGGCCGTCAACTGATTAATCGCATCCAAAATAAAAGTTTGTGTTTGTATATGTGTGTACGGTGTATATTCATTATGTATATATAAATACACACAGATGCATGTATATATTTAAGAAAAATTTTATATTTATATACAGTATATATGTGTGTGTGTGTGTATTTATATATACATAATAAATATGCACAGTACACACATATATATTTTAAACAAACTTTTATTTTGGATGTGATTATTCGTTTGACAGCCCTATAAAAATATGCAGAAACCAATAACATTTTTGCATTTTACACCTTGCAAGCATTTGCCTTTGGCACATTAAAATGTTTCAGTTATGACATTCAGTAAGGTCCATACTGGTTGTTATGTGTGGTTTCAGGAGTGGCAGAACTCCATACAAAAGAACGCAGGACTTGCATTCATCGAACTTATTAATGAGGGGAGGTATGTTGTATACTCATTAAAATTCCTTCTCGACTGGCATTGTTTATGTTAAGATTTTTAAAGTCATATTTCATACCAAAAACGATGTACACTCCTTCTGTATGTTTTTGTGAGATCTGGTGCAATTGATGGAAAGGAGATTCTCATTACGCAAAAATAAAAGTAATAATTTGTAAGTAATAACAGTTGACAATGTTATAATGCAAACTGTTCATGTCATTTACATATTTCGCTATGCTCAGGCTTCTGTGTCACGCCATGAAGGACCACATTGTCCGTGTCGCCAATGAGGCTGAGTTCATCCTCAACAGGCAGAGAGCAGAAGATGTGCACAAACATGCTGAGTTTGAGGTCAGTCAGTCAGTGTGGATCACTGTGTCATGGGTTCACAGTTTAAATACTTATCATGCGCAAGGTATGATGTGAAGATCCTTTCCTTTGCTCTTTCTTTTCATAGTCCAACTGTGCCCAGTACGCTGCAGACAGGAGAGAAGAGGAAAAGATGTGTGATCACCTCATCAGTGCCGCCAAGCACAGAGATCACGTGACCGCAAACCAGCTGAAACAGAAGATCCTCAATATTTTAACCAATAAGCATGGAGCATGGGGAACCATGTCACAGAGGTTCACAAACTCAGTTTATTGTTAACCTTTGCTGCTGGAATTCTGTTTCTTGTTTTCTGGCCATTCATCACCTCTTTGCTCTCTCTTATTTATTTCCCACCTCAGTCAGCTACATGATTTCTGGCGTTTGGACTACTGGGAGGATGATTTGCGCAGGAGGCGGAGATTTGTACGCAATGCCTTTGGCTCCACCCACTCGGACGTGGCTCTCAAATCTCTAGAGGAATACGGTCAGCCACAACACATCCATACACCTCAGTCTAATTTACAGTGCCCAAATATGTCTCAGAGACATAATATTAAAGTGATGTGTGTCCATACATTATACATATCCAAATACAGAACATTATTTTTGTCAGGGAAAAAAATACAAAAATACAAAATTGAAATATATGTTATTTATTTTTCATTATATTTATTTATTTTATTTGTTTTTTATTTTATTGTAATTTTTTATTTTATTAATTTTTTGCATGGACTGTTTAGAGAGTAATGATTGTGTGTGTATATATATATATATATATATATTATTTTTTATTTTTTTTGTATGGGCAGACCCTGAGGAAGAAGAGGGCATGAAGTCAAAGTCGTCGTTCCGTAGTCATTCGGTGGTCAATCAGAACCCTGAGACGGAGCTGATGCTGGAAGGAGATGATGACACCGTCAGTCTGCTGCAGGAGAAAGAGATCGACAACCTTGCAGGTATTCAGCGTTTCTGCTGCACTCAGGAGTCTATTATTTACAAGCAGCCTCCTCAAATCCCATTGTAAGGGTGCCATGGCACTATTAAACAAATTAGTTTTAAATGCCAGCTGCTTCTGCAGGAACCATTAGTGTGGTGATTCTTTGATGTATTGTTGATGCATGTGCTAATGTATACAACTGTACTTTATTCCCAGTGGCTTTTCGTCCGAGGGTATTTATCTCAAGAGGCAAGTTTGGTCCTTCAGTAAATGAGTATGCTAATTAGTGTTTTAGCCCAGAACAAGATCCAGCCCTTCTGCCTTTTGATGCAAATCTCAGCTGAAACCGCACAAGAGTATGATTATGAGCTACATCTGATTTTGACACTGAATGTCTGAATCACTAAATTAACTAATTAACTCTTATCAAAGTAGCCACTTACTCATTATCCTAATGAGTCGCTGACTGTATTTAACATACTGTGGCTATTTAATCATTATTTAATTAAGCTAATTAGCTTGTTTTTTCCTCAGATTTTAGTTTTTTTCCAAAATACTTTCTTAGTCATCTCTTTGTGGTTTGAAATCTGATGTCAGTTTTCAAAAAAATGAGCTATAAATGCTATGTGATAAATCACTGAGCCTTAGTCAAATAAACATTCTGATAACAGCAATCAGCTGATGGCACCACTAAAATGATCATTTTTAGGGATTGGTAATGGTAAAAGATGCTTTTTAAGACCAGACGATGTACATTTTTCAAAAAGATTATTTCATTTTCCAAAACTGGCCTTGAAATCCCAAGTTATTGGAAAATCTAACCATAATCACTTGACTAATCCAGGACTCAGGACTTTAAAATGTTAAGTTTCTCATTTTGTAGTATGGTTTCTTTCAGGTCCGGTGGTTTTGAGCACACCCGCCCAGCTCGTTGCTCCTGTGATCGTTGCTAGTGGCACGTTGTCGATCACCACAACAGAGATCTATTTCGAGGTGGATGAAGATGATCCAACATTCAAAAAGATTGATTCAAAGGTACTGTATGTGTCACTGATAATGAGTTACAGTATAGCCTTTTTTACATCTTTTATTTCACACAGAATTACTGTAGATTTTTAACAAGTTAACGAGAATATCATCCAGTCAGAATTTCAGGATCATGCATTGGTATTGCTGACTTCATCATGCTGTCTTCTTTGCTAACCACTGTTCCTCTGATTGTATTTAAATGCTTTGCTTTTGTGTTTGTCAGGTGTTGGCATATACTGAGGGTCTGCATGGGAAATGGATGTTCAGTGAGATCAGAGCAGTTTTTTCCAGACGCTACCTGCTCCAAAACACTGGATTAGAGGTCTTCATGGCCAACAGGAGTAAGATGCCAACATGTTTAACAACAATGTCAAACTGATGTTTAGTTCAAGGTTTTTAATGGCACTATTTCATTATCTCTACAGCATCTGTCATGTTCAATTTCCCGGATCAGGGCACAGTAAAGAAGGTAGTGTACAGTTTACCTCGGGTCGGCGTTGGCACCAGCTATGGCCTCCCTCAGGCAAGGTAAGGTGTAGGTTTTTTAATATTGAAACTGATTCTGTGATGTGAGATCAGTTTATTTCATTGGTAATTAACAGTAAATGTGTTATTTGCCAAAGCTAAATGATTGCTTGTTATTGTGCTGTTCCTCCCATAGACGGATCTCTCTGGCAACACCAAGGCAGCTCTTTAAGTCGTCTAATATGACTCAGAGATGGCAGCGGAGGGAGATTTCAAATTTTGAGTACCTCATGTTCCTCAACACGATTGCAGGTAAGATGATTCCTATGATTGCAACTAATAGTTTTATCACTACAAGCGATATAATGAATCAAATTGGGATATGTTACATGCTCACACACAACATTGTCTGTTGATGTTTGTTTGCAGGGAGGACCTATAATGATTTGAACCAGTATCCTGTCTTCCCTTGGGTCCTGACTAACTATGAGTCAGAGGACCTGGATCTTACCTTGCCTGGGAATTTCCGGGATCTCTCAAAGGTATGCCAGTCCTGAAAGTCTTTTACCATTACCCATTTAGAGCTACACAAATCATCCAGAATTTTTCAAAATACCCGATTTTGAATTTCAGATTTTTAATGTCGTCTTGTTTTTTTTGGACCCTACTGTTTGGTTTTGTAATTTAATTCAACTTCTTACTGTATTTTATTCCTGCGATGGCAAAGCTAAATTTTCAGCTTTTTTTTTCAGTTTTGTGGAAACTGTGATCATTTCTTTTAACTAATAACAGCTTGTATTTGAAATATTTTTTAATTATAAATGACTTTATTGTTACTCTTGATCAATTTAATGCTTGCTTGCTGAATAAAAGTAATAATTTCTTACTGACACCAAACTTTTGAATGGTAACCTATATGATATAAATATACTAATTTAAATATAATAATACTCAGCTTTCAGAGCCCTGAATCCAAAGTGAGCTGTAACTTTAAAAATATATATATATATATTTTAGTAATTTGTTTAGTATAATATCCAGAATCCCTTTTTCTCCTTCCTGTTTGACAATATAGCCAATCGGAGCCCTGAATCCAAAGCGAGCCGTGTTCTATGCCGAACACTATGAGACGTGGGAAGATGATGGAACTCCGCCCCATCATTACGCATCTCTGTACTCAACTGCGGCATCCACTCTCTTCTGGCTCGTCAGGATAGTGAGTCTTCACTATAGTCCATTTATATTGTATTATCTCTCAGAACTTGAAAATCCCAAAATTCTGCTTTTTAGAAAAGCTCTTATGAAAGTTGTTTAATTGGAAATTGTGCGCCACTTCCTTCATCCCACAGGAACCCTTCACCACATTTTTCTTGAATTGTAATAACAACAAGTTCGACCACCCCGATCGGACGTTTTCTGGCATTGCACGCTCTTGGCGAAGTTGCCAGAGGGATACATCAGATGTTAGGGTGAGCAAAATTTTGTGAGGTAAAACGATTCTGTAACTCGTCAACATGTTTGTCAACACCTTTGTTTGTATAACAGGAGTTGATCCCGGAGTTCTACTACCTCCCTGAGATGTTTGTGAACAGCAGCGGATATGACCTGGGGGTGAGAGAGGACAGGACAGCCGTGTGTGATGTGGAACTACCAGTCTGGGCCAAAAAACCAGAGGACTTTGTTCGCATCAACAGGATGGTGAGGAATGGAAAGATTATGTGTGTCTAAGCACCTTTGTTTGGTCCACATTAGTGCGCAATTTCAGCTGCCATTAGGATTAATAGTCCAATTCAGCCAGTGTTTCAAGAATCAAAAGCAGCTCTAGTTTGTAGAAAAAAAGAAATGAAGAAGTGAACCTGGCACAGCCTTTACAAGGCTAGTAATTTCTTTTTGAAGCCCTGATTGGTCCTTGTGTTAACCCTGTTGTCTTCTTCATGTCTCAGGCGCTGGAGAGTGAATTTGTGTCCTGTCAGTTGCACCAGTGGATCGATCTCATCTTCGGCTACAAGCAGAGAGGACCGGAGGCCATTAGGGCTCTCAATGTTTTCCATTACCTGTCTTACGAGGGATCTGTGAACTTGGACACCATCACCGACCCCCAGCTCAGAGAGGTAAGACCCCTCGCCAGAGAGGTCAGTGAGTATTGATCCAGTGGAGGATATCGATCTAGGAACTTGTCCTGCTTGTGTGAATCACGTTAAGCTGTGTTTTTGGTGGGTTTTTATTAGACATTGACCAATGTTGTTTTTTTATAATACTGATGTGTTTTTTTTCAATACATTTTTTTTATTGACATCTTTACATGTCTCAATAAAATATGCAGAATGAAATGCTTTGTTATTTTAGTAAAAATAAAACAAAATAATGCAGAACAAAAAAACATTCAAAGCTGTTAATAACATTGATTATTACATATTTACTATTGCAATAATAACCATTAATCTCAAAACGCTTAATGTAGACAATAATCTCAAAATGCTTAATGTCAGTATAACAATCTTAAACTAATTAAATAATTAATCATAAGTAATCTTAATGACATCTTTACATGTCTCAATAAAATATGCAGAATGAAATGCTTTGTTATTTTAGTAAAAATAAAACAAAATAATGAAGAACAAAAAAACATTCAAAGCTGTTAATAACATTGATTATTACATATTTACTATTGCAATAATAACCATTCATCTCAAAACGCTTAATGTAGACAATAATCTCAAAATGCTTAATGTCAATATAACAATCTTAAACTAATTAAATAATTAATCATAAGTAATCTTAATGTGAAGCATTTTAGTAACATCTCAAAAACTCTATTAAATAAGATAACAAAATATTTAATATTTTAAATAAATAATAGTAATATTAAAATGTTTCATGTCAATAATTAGGATTAATTATTATTGACAGTAAGTATTATTGACAAAACACTTAATGTCTTAATAGTTAATCCTATTTTTTTTACATTTCGAAAGGTCTAATAATGTATTAAACAATTAAAATAATTTATTAAACAATTGACACAAATTTAAAGTATGATATTATTATAATTAAAATATTGAATATTTACCTGTAAACACCAGTTTCCTGTTTAACACACAAGAGTGCAGTGCTGTTTTTATCAAAAAATTTGACGTTAGAAAAAATGTAATCTTATATGATAAGCTTAATCATTAGTCTTTCATGATGTTTCCTGTCAATATCTTTCTCTCCTCTGTCCAAAATGAGTGAATATGTTTATTTCATTTCTATGTTGACAGCAGTGTTCAGCTTGTCCATGTCTGTAAATGTCTGTCAGATGTGAGGCAGCTCAGGGGTCTGTCAGCTAAAGATGTAACAGCTTGTTTTGTCTCCTTGTCATCTTTTCAGTCTATGGAGGCTCAGATTCAGTCATTTGGACAGGCTCCATCACAGCTGCTAATAGAGCCTCACCCTCCACGCAGTTCCGCCATGCACCTGGTGAGTCTTTATTATATCTCTTCAAGACACCTCTATTTATTGTGATCTATATTAAATTTTTTTTTTATCAGTTATCTATATTAGATCTCTTTTAAAGGGGTCATATGATGCGATTTAAATTTTTCCTTTCTCTTTGGAGTGTTACAAGCTCTTGGTGCATAAAGAAGATCTGTAAAGTTGCAAAGACTAAAGTCTCAAATCCAAAGAGATATTCTTTATAAAAGTTAAGAGTCAGCCACGCCTACCTAAAACGGCTCGTTCTAACACGCCCCCACATACCTACATCACGATATAATGTACAGTATGTGGAAAATAATGTTTTTTGAACCTTAAACCGCATAAACACATTTCATTACACCAAATACACAAAATAATGTTCTTTTTAGCAACATCATATGACCCCTTTAAATAGATAAATATTGTCTCTTGTTATTACATCTTTTATCATGATTTGTCTTTATTACTTTCATTTTATGTAGCTCAGAATTGCAGCTAGTTGTGATGGACCAAATTTTGTCGTAAATGCAAAATGCTGCCACAAAGTGGAAAAATGACAGTCCGGTAGTACATAAACTTTATATTTAGCTGGTTCGGACACTGATTTACACTTAGAAGGCTGTCTAGGGTTGGCTGTTACACATATCACCCAGCCCTACCCCCTCCTGATGGTCCAAACCAGCCCAAAACTGATCCTAAACTACATCCTTACCCAGAATCCCACCCTGTGGTTTTCACCTTGTTTGCTCCATTGTAATTTACCTTTCTAATTCCCTGTCCCTTCCTTTCTCCTTTTTCTTCCCAATTTTTCCTCTTCCTCCTCCTCTTTCTCTCTTCTGCTCATTAGTGTTTCCTTCCTCAGAGTCCTCTAATGTTCAAGGACCAAATGCAGCAAGATGTAATCATGGTGCTAAAATTCCCCTCCAACTCTCCTGTCACGCACGTGGCGGCCAACACGCTGCCTCACCTCAGCATTCCCGCTGCGGTCACGGTCACATGCAGCCGGCTGTTCGCCGTCAACCGCTGGCACAACACAGTCGGTGAGCACTACCATTTGCAACTTTCTTAGATGTAACCATTGAATTAACCACCTTTTTTACTGTTTAGTGCAAGTTTATTTACAATATTAGCGATATGTTTTGTTTAGGTCTCAGAGGTGCTCCGGGATACTCATTAGAACAGGCTCATCACCTTCCTATTGAAATGGACTCTCTGATTGGTAAGTTCCTCAGATCATGTGACCATGTGTTTAGCCAGTAACTTGTGTCACTAGGCCTGAAATTCCATCAGTTAAAGGCATAGTTCACCCAAAAATGTGAATTCTGACATGATTTATTCCCATTCATGTCCAAACCTGAATATCTTTCTTCTGTTGGACACAAAATAAGATATTTTGAAGAATGTAGGTAAGCAAATGGTTTCAGTGCCCATTGACTTCCATTGTAGTTTTTGCTCCATTAAATGAAAGTCGAAGTCAATGGGAACCGAAACTGTTTGGTTACCAACTTTCTTCAAAATATCTTCTATGTTCTGCAGAAGTAAGAAATGCATACAGGTTTGGAATGACGTGAGGGTGAGTAAATTATGAGAGAATTTTCATTTTTGTGTGGACTGTCCTTTTAAAAGTCTGATGAAACTTGGTTGTATCTTCAGACTCAAACTGGATATTTTTCCAATATTCACACCTGGTCTGTGTTTTCTTTCCCAGCCAATAACTCTGGCATTAGTAAAAGGCAGATCACAGATTTGGTGGATCAAAGCATTCAGATCAACACGCACTGCTTTGTGGTGACAGCCGACAACCGCTACATCCTGGCATGTGGTTTCTGGGACAAGAGTTTCCGTGTTTACTCCACTGAGACAGGTGCTTGTGTCTTTTGGGATTTTATGCCATTTTGTATGCCAACTTGTACATATAAAAGACTTTCACTCTTTACTACAAAAAAAATGTCTATGTGCACATATATATGCTCATCTGCTCACTCTTCATTCAGGGAAACTCACTCAGATCGTGTTTGGTCACTGGGATGTGGTGACCTGTCTTGCGCGATCTGAGTCCTACATTGGAGGTGATTGCTACATTGTCTCTGGCTCACGAGATGCAACCCTTCTGCTGTGGTACTGGAGCGGACGACACCACATCATCGGAGACAATCCCAACAACAGTGAGCACAAATGACCCAGAGTACATGAGTATCGCTTTCATTTACGTAACTCAGTGCTCAACAAGGCTGCATACATTTAATCCAAAACACTGTAAAACAGTAATATTGTGAAATATTATTACAATTTAAAATAGCTGTTTTTATTTTAATGCATTAAATGTAATTTTTTCCTGTGATGCAAAGCTAAATTTTCAGCAGCCATTACTCCAGTCTTTAAAGTCACATGATCCTTCAGAAATCATTCAATATGCTGATTTGGTGCTCAGGGAACCTTTCTGATTATTATTAATATTGAAATTAGTACTATTTAATATTCTTTGTGGAAGCTGTTTTTTTTTCTCAAGATTCTTAGAGGAATAGAAAGTTTTCTATCAAATAGAAATCTTTTTGCTGTCACTCAGATCAATTACTGTAATTGCGTCCTTGCAGTATTATTTTCTTAAAAATAAAATCTTACTAACTGACCCCAAACTTTTGAACAGTATAGTGTGTAAGATATCACATACATAGGACATATTTTAATACTTAACATTGATGTTACATGCTGAATATATTAAATTCATTCCTTTTTATTGCCTGCTTGCCTACCTTCATCTCATTCCTAACAATCTTCTTTTTCATTTTTACTTTGGTGTGGTAATGGGTTTTAGTTCTGTGGCAAAAAAAAACAAAAGTTTGATGAGATTTTTAGGATTCTAGAAGCTGACCTTCTGTTGTATTGTAGGTGATTATCCAGCACCTCGAGCGGTTCTCACAGGCCATGACCATGAGGTGGTGTGTGTGTCAGTGTGTGCTGAACTGGGACTTGTCATCAGTGGGGCCAAAGGTCAGTCTGAGAGGAAGCAATCTGAATATTAGCATATCAGAAATCAACTCTTTTCATACTAGTATTGGTTTCTATGAGGGCTTATATAAACCCATTACAGTTAAGGAATTAAATATGTCTTAAAGATGTTTATTTAAAAAAATTGTGATTGTAATTTTTTCCTAATTTCTCCGTTTTTAGTGTCTCTGCTTGCTGTGTAATGACAGAATTGAGAGTTTCTTGCTGTTGTCTTGTTTTACAGAGGGGCCATGTTTGGTGCACACCATCACAGGAGATTTACTGCGGGCCCTAGAGGGCCCTGAGAACTGTGTCTGGCCCCGTCTGATCTCTGTGTCCAGTGAGGGCCACTGTATCATCTACTATGAGAGAGGACACTTCTGTAACTTCAGCATTAACGGCAAACTCCTGGCACAGATGGAGATCAATGACTCCACACGTGTAAGAGGAGACATACATATTGGAACAGAAACAAATACACATTAATCACATTAGTCTCTGTATTTAATCTGCTTTTGTGTTCCCCCAGGCCATTCTGTTGAGCAGCGACGGTCAGAACTTGGTAACAGGAGGTGATAACGGTGTTGTTGAAGTCTGGCAGGCCTGTGATTTTAAGCAGCTGTATATTTACCCAGGCTGTGACGCAGGCATCAGGGCTATGGACTTATCCCATGACCAGAGGTGGGCACACCTGACCTAAAAATAATAATATACATATACATTGAACATTCATTTTAACAATGTTGTTTTGTTAAATAAAAACATTTCTTGTAAAAAAAAAATATAATTTATAATATAATATACATATATATTAGTGCTGTCAAACGATTAATCGTGATCAATCGCATCCGAAATAAGTTTTTGTTTACATAATATATGTATGTGTGCTGTGTATATTTATTATGTAAATATAGGGAGGGGGTCTGGGGTGGGATTAAGATGCAGCGGTGAACGTAGTCTTTGTAAATACAAACTGCAATGGCGCAGTTCTTCACTACAAGGGGATAAAAATCATACTTCCCGCTCGCTCTCCATTACGGAAAATCCCATAATCCTTTAATTTATTTATTAATTACTTGCTGTAAGATATTGTGTAGTTCCAACAAAATGATGATGATGATTTGGATGATTATAGATGAAGGCCTGCCGATTCACGGGGAGGAAGTGAACTGCTCAGACAGGAAACAAGCTTCTCTTTCCTCTTTGTATATTTGGTAATTGTTTTGTCATATATGTAAATATTGTGATGGTTAGGAAAGCCAGGCATGTAAGCGGGCCATAAAAAAATAATAACGAGAAAAAATCAACAAATAAAAAAAAGAGAAAAAGAAACCCTCCCTCACTCACACGTTTCATTTATGAAAAAAAAGAACAATTATTAATGTTGACGTTTTTGTATCAGACACATTGCACCGGTAACAACCCATAATTTATCATCGTATAAGGATTTATTTTTCTTTGGTCTTCTACCACATTTTAGACCCATTCTCCATTGTATAATTTGTGCATTGATGTTTGTTGTATTTAAATAATATTATAATCATATGTGATGATTACGTTGTACAACCACAGCCACAGTAAGCAATATCCTTGTAGCCGAGAGTGACTGCAGAAACGCGGTTTAATACATGGATTGAGATGTTTGAAATCCGCATACACGAATACTGAGACATTTTTTTCATCCCCCTATTTAAAAAGTGTGAGAGAAAAGAGTGAGAAGGATATTTTTCAATCAACAACACTGATATTGAAATATAGTTGTTTTACTACAGGAGTGTAATTACTAGTCAGCTGGAAGCTAAGACTGAGTTCAGAAATGAAAACACAAATAAATTATGCAAATAATTTGTTGATCTGCCTTTTCATTGGCCATTGGATGTGAATTATACATGAGACAGCTGCGCATACATAACCTGCAGGTCTGTCACTGTGTAGGTGAGTGGTCAGTACTGTATATTTGATTTGATTTGTACATTTGCTAAATATCTTTTGTTCATTTATTTTGCAAGGTGTATCTGATCATGATGATTGCATATTATTTTAAATTATTTTACTTTATATGTCTGCATCGTTTGTGGAGAGGAGAGGAATAGTTTTTGGCAGGAAGTAAATAATGGATGATTTATTTAGATTCAGATGTAATTTTTAAATTCAGTCCCCACCTGCTGTTTCATGGATTTGCTGCAACTTGAATAAACCAGAATCTCACAGGTGTCTCTTAAAATGTTTAAATATTAATTCATGCCAATATATAGATCAATAACTGTAAAATAAAATTGTTTCCTTTTTGTCGTATTTACAATAAAACAAGCCAAAACATCTTTTTGAAGTACTGGTGTGTTTTTCTTTAAACAACTAGATCTGAATGTCCTTAAATACTGAATGTCCTGAATGGAATGAGGTCAGTTAGCTTTTTAATGGAAGGGATACAGCTACAGCTGGAAGTAAAGCAAAATCTCGCCATAAAATAACAAATTAAATTTGCTACCGGTCAGATTGTGTTTTATTAACGTCTACACCTATTTAAACCCTAAATCTAACCTCAAAATAATGTAAATACAGTAACTGTTCAACGTGGCAAAAAATGTAAGCTTCGAAGCTTTTACACATGCTGTTTCATTCAAATTCCCTTTAAGGCAAGTCATGTCACTCGGCGGCCATCTTTGAAACACCGGCCCCACAAGTACTCCTCGCTGCAGACTGTAGTGCGGTGACGTCACATAGTTTTTTTTGTTTTTTGTTAACCTATGTCACGTACGTATGTGTTTGCCACGCATGCGCAAAGTGACGTAACGCATGTCTTAAATTCGCATGCGCGCCGTACTGACTGGCGTTAATGCACATGTACAGGTTCATTCACTTCCGGATGTTCAAAAGGTATGGTGGATTCGAGATTCGGTGGCAGTAAGTCAAAGAACATTAACTTACTTATGTTTTCTTAAAAAATGTGCGTTTGCGTTAACGGCTTTTAATTGTAAGGATGCTTTGTAGAGATGCACCGATTGCAATTTTCTTGGCCGATTCCGATTTTCGATTTTTTGGAAGTGTGACCTGCCGATACCGATTTTTGCAGATTCCGATTTTCTTTCTAAGAACTATAATTTGACAGCATATACAAACAAAAATCTATGCAAATTTCAATGCAAAAATTATTTACATAATAAAAGAAATTATTAAACATTACAATTCCCCCAATCTGGACTAAGTTACAGATTTTCTCTCACTTAAACAACTCTCAAAATAAAGTGCTCTGTGACTGGAAAGAGGAAGAAATAGTTAACTTAAAATGAGTTTCTGTATGTAACAAAACAGATGTCATTTACCACTATGTTTATAAATGGTAATTTTTTCCCTAACCTTATTAAATGTGTCATCTTTCACATCAAAGTCTTACTTTAGAATTGTTACCATTCAAATTAAATTAGTATTAACGCACTCTATCTTTCCACTGCTGAGGAAACAGAAGCTGCATCTGAAGTGGCATTAGACGCATTTACACAGACAGTTTGATGAAGCTGAGGTGCCATAAATGCATTTACACTGCAAAATTTCAAATGCATAAATTTTATAAGATTAAGATTATAAGATGTTAAATATACAAAATGTTGAAAAAATGCAATGATACTTTTAAATATGACTAAACCACCAGTAGGTGGCGCCAAATGTCTGTTTTAATGAGTCATTTATTCATTCATTCAACCGATTCATTCAAACGGCTGAATGATTCAGAAACGAGGCAATTGACTGTCTTTATGAATAGACCACTGAATCATTGACTCACTCGATTCATTCAAAAACGTGGATTCATTCAGTAATGAAACACCACTGTGTGTTGCTCTGAGACACACAACAGTTCTGCTGTGGCTTTGATCGGAACTATTTTCGTCAGCGAAATTGAGCAAAAACAGTCAATATTTTGTCTAAAATCTAAGTCACTTAATTTTAACTAATTGTTTATTTAAATACTATTGTATAAAATCAGTGTCGCATTGCAATCGTGTTGATATTGATATTCGGGGAAACATCATGGCCGTATAATGTTGCTTACCCTACAATGAATGCAATTAAAATTAGAACCATTCTCACGCGAAACGACATGTTTACACGCGACTGTGAGTGTGCGCGTGGCTGTGACGTCATTGCCGGAACCGCTGGCAATAGAAGGATCGGCTCGGAATTAGGCTTGCCGTGATAGACGGTGTTGACGGTGATACCGTTGTTAAGCCGCAACACCGGTTACGTCACTAAAATGGGCACACCGCTTTTACAAGCTATTTAAAAGCGAAGGAAAGCGAGGAAAAGAGGGAATGCCCCGCCCCCGCGGTGATACCGGTATTACCGGTGTTGTCACGCCGATTAACCGGTGGGAAAATTTCCTCACCGACACAACCCCACTCGGAATCAGCAAGACGTGAGACTGACTGGCCGATTCCGATCACTGGCCGGTCAATCGGTGCATCTCTAATGCTTTGGTCATAATCATAAAGAGTGTCATTGCAAATGTGTGCAATTTCAAAAATGTATGACATGTTTTATGATGTGTGTTAGTAGGTCTTTAAAAGTCTTATTTCGCCTAAAATGAGCCTTTAAAGATGTCTTAAAATAGAGCAGAAAGACTTTTATTAATAAAGTAATGCAATTGATTGTTTGCCATGTTGTTTCTCATATTTGTCATCTTTTTCATTAACTAACATTATCAAACATTAATAGACACTGTAACAAATGTATGGTGTTAGTTCATGTTAATGAATACATTAAAGGCACAATATGTAAGTTTTCGCTGCTAGAGGGCGCGTATTCAAAACAAACAAAGAAACAAATATACAATCCTCTGAACCAATCTCAGCTCATATATTTTGTTTTACTCAAGGAACACATTAATTAAACACACCTTGGAATTGACAACCATAATTTTTGGCTTGTCTTTAGTCTTACTTTGTTTAATAATTATTACACAAATACTATTATAAAACTACTTTTCACTATTATTTATTTACTATTAATTTATTCTTCATTATTGTCTATTCTGCATTATTCCACCCTTGATATTACATATTCTACTTGCTATTATTCATCTATTGTTATTCATTTATTATGGTATTATACATACATTTGTTGGTATTATATATCTATATCACTTATGTTATTGTACTGTTGTACTCACTATTTTATTATATTATTCACTTTACTACAACTTGTACTACATATACTTTTTAATATTACATATCACTTTTACTATATTTTTATTGTGTACTGTATCAATGCATAATATTTTACCACTGTAACTGTAAGTTTTACTGGATCCATAAATGATTATCAGTTACATTTGTTACTGTTTGTTGTGGAGTTTATATCTGTATAGAGTGCTATGAAAATAGAAAGCAGACAGTGTGTCACTTTTTGATTTGTATTCGCTGGTTTTATTCCATTTTCTCAATTATGGTAAATGATTAGTATTTAAAGATGTATTATTTCGATTTTTCCCCCAGCATTTCAAAGGGAATGAGCTGTGTTCTGACCTGAGGCACAAGAAAAGCTCAAATGTTGGGGTTGAAGACAGAGAAAGCAATGATAAAACTTAATTTAATTTAATGTACATTAAAATTACATTACATACTACATTAATATTAGAATTGTTAACCGAAAAAATCAACCAAATCAACAAGAGTGCGAGTGTGAGCTTTCACAGTTTCTTACGAA